TCGAAGTTCAGCCTTTCCGCACAGATACGACCGTAATTCGTCCAGATATGCCTCTTGTGGCGCCTTGCTCTGCGGGCTGAACACCGCCATTGAAGGCAGCTCATCGTGAGTAGAGGCCATCGTTGGGGCGATGGGTTGTTCCAAGTGAGATGTTGAAAGTCCCTTGAATCAGGTTGAATCAGAGCAGAGATACGCTCAGGTTGAAAATTATACTCGAGGCATTTACAGAAACAGTGTAGAGGGGTATATAGAGCTTTGGTCTAAGAAGCATACGGTCAATGACGCGTGAGATTCGGTGATGGTGCCTGATTCGGTAGCCTTGACCTATCGTGGCGTTCCTACGCCAACACAAGTTATCAGGTTAACTTGTGATATTGTTTGGTTGGCCCCAAGAAGATCGACAAACACCAGGGACATCCCGGTGCTGAGACTAATGCATGTAGAAAGATCGAATAGCGCACTGACCTCGGAAGATCCCGATCCAGCCTGTCCTGAAGTAAGTCTTGGTTGCTCCAGGAGGATGACAGCGCGCCATTGACGCACCCCCAACTCTCGGAAGGTTCGAGACCGACCCAAATCCGCCTAGTCTCGGCCGAACCGGTGCTTTCAGGCCTTGGGCTTGTGAAAGATGTCGAGTTCACGAGAGAAAAGATCGGGCTAGAAGCATCGTTTGACATGTCCATAGTGTCCACTGGCTTAACGTCAATATATTAGGAGCGGCTGAACTCAGTTCGTATCAGATGCGCCAGCAACCCAGCGTGATAGGCGGAAGAAGGAAGGTGCGTGTGAAAGGAGAAAAGTGGAGAGAAGGGTAGGGAGGGTAGGTGCAGCTTCGAGAGGTGCAGAATGAGTGAGGGCAGGAAGCTTGACATTCTTCGGCATTGAGAAGATTGCGCTACTCATTCGTACCTGTGGACCCCTGCCTCTATCATACTTGGTATTGTTGTATTGTTGCAGTTGATACGAAGTGAGGTACAAGATATCTGAATTTCGAGATATCTTGGCGTCTCGTTCGAACTGTGGTACCCAAAGTTTAAGGGATAAAGTACTACTTTCCGCAATGCGTAAGTAAACCTAATACCTTGAACACGGTTCAAAGTTTGATCATGATCCAAGCTGTTATGCATCTTTTGCATTATCTTCTCTTTTGGGTTGGGCGGAGTGCAATCCATACCAAGAGGGTGGCACCACTCTCTCAATGCCAAGAAGTCGGCAGGGGCTAAGAGCTACAGCTGAACTGGAGCTTTGCGATTATTCGCCTTCATGATTGAAATTTGACAGCCAACACACACAGGTGCTGAAAGAAGGCAAGGGGCCGGACCGAATCGTGAATTGTGAACGTTGCATCCTTAGGGATCTAGGATTTTACGAAACGCCTCGATATCAACACGGACGGAAAGGGATTTCCCCGATGCTCCGGCGCCTAATTCCCGACTCGCGTCACTGTTTGCGGTACCTTTTCTTCATGAGCTGAGGTAAGTACAACTCTGTAACTACGACCAATGCAGCGTTTACTTCACCCATCGCAATGTCTACGGATCAAATCGTACGATCTCTTACGCCCTGGTAAGAGAAACTACCTTTTAGGACGTTCGCATCTGCGAGCCTGCTTATCTGCCTCTGGTGCGTCAAATGCTTGCTATTTCATAGTTTTCAAGCATCTCAATCTCAATACAGTCACTTCATGCCAGATGTCATGCACGTCCAAGCAGGGGTTCGACGTCCCACTGGTGGAAAATTCCGAATCGTGTGTCCCCTGAAGGCTTATCAAGTGTGGAAGTAACCAATCTTGATCGCGAGCATGACAATCTCGACACGATCACTTCATGCCAGATCTTCATGCACGTCCATGTAGGATCTTCAAGGTTCTCCTGCTGGGAACCTCAATTGGTGTGCTCTGTGCACATCTCAACATAGTCACTTTCATGCCAGATCTTTACGCACGTCCATGCAGGGTCTCCGTGAACGTTCTTGCAGAATCTCATCCACGACAACCCAATGAATAGATGCGTCAAACTTTCGTGCTTCCTGACTTGTCGTGTCATGCAAGTACTGCCGTGTGATGACATCATCGAATCTCCGTTCTAGATGTATCGCTTCCTCCCCGAGCCGCGAGCCACCAAATCACTTTCTCATACGCTGCCATTGACTACCACACCCGTAAATGCCAAGATCATCTCGAAAGCGCGGTCGAGAACAATGAGATGAGGACCAAAGTCTAAGTGGCTTGGGCCGAAGCGCCTCTTGACTCCGGCTTACCGCAACCTTTGCAACATGCTCAACCCACGGCAGCCATGGCGTCCCTGAACGCCAAACCCAACAATCAGTGTCATTAATGAGGGTGTCGACAGTTTTACAAGCAAAGACAACATCTGTGGGTGGATTTGTTGATCCAGAGGAGAGTCAGGGGCCAGACAAGCAGCCACTGTGAAGCAGAAAATGGGGTCACCACCAATCTGAGCCCAGCAGAGGACCGGATGCAGATACGACTGTGTGGTCCGATCGTGCAGACATTGGCGCCGGCTGGAAGGGCCCCATAGATATGACCTTACCACGAAATATTACCTCCACTAGAGAAGTGTATCATGATGCAACATCGTACGTCTCTTCACCACCCCACAGATACAGCTCCCCTGCAATACTCACGTGGATCGTCTAAACATTCAAGTTTTGTAATGTCCGCTACTCGTTGTTTATTTGCTCGGCTACCCAGAGGCGGTCCGCTATCGTCAAAATCGGGTCACACCTCAATAACATCAAGGACACGGTACGGTTGAATGTTTCCTGCACACCGCGATGCGTATTACGATTACATATGCTCAGTCAAGGCCGTCAGCAGGATGTCACCGTTCCGATTCTCTCATCGAACCTTCGGGTTGTAGAGGTTGGGACACACTGTCAAATCCGGTCGTCAACTTCCAGTGTGACTCCTTTTCCCTGAAGACGGCGTGCCAACAGTCTCAGCGCGGAGGTCGTTGCTTAGCATCCCAGCAATTGACATACAGGGTGGCTGACACCACATCAGATTCGCGAATAGCATTCCATCGGGGGTCGATCATCGTGTGGGTTACGAAGACGCCGCAATAAGCCAGAAGGGGATTTTTCGAAACGACCTCTCTGATAATTTCCTTACCAATGTGTCCGTAGTCGAGATATACTAACGCACGTGCTTACGTTACGTGTATCGTTTCTTACGGAAATTCTCGGGGTGCGTCGAGGCCAAAACATGTCGCGTCAGGATGTCGGATAAAGTAACAGCTCGCTTGATATCACGTGCTCGAAGGATTAAAGTGAAGCTTCAAAGGTTGGCTGAACAATGCGGCTAAAACTGCTCGGAAAGGCTAGGTATATTATCTGGATCTGAACTACACCGAATCAATTGGAGGGTGGGGAAGGCAAAGATTCATCCCTTCATCGGTGCCGAATGTCACGCACGATATTTCCCGCCGCTAGTCTGTAGCGCAAAATCAAGTTTCAGCGCGCCTCTCTGATTAGGTTGGCAGTCTCAATGATCTGCGCGCTACGGTGCTTAGTGCTGACATTGACTTCGTGCTTGAAAGTTCGACGACGGGATCTTGCAGGAGCTTCTTGATTGCAGGGGTCCATGCTCCACGGTTGCCTAGATTTAAAAGTTCCGGAGGGTGGGGTGGGGTTACCTTACATTACTTGAGCGGGGTTCGGTACAAGGCTACTGGCACTGTCAAAAACTATGAGTATGGGCGATCAGCAAGATAGCCTCAAATGGAGAAGCTAGGCGAACTCTCATCCATCAATTTTCCATCCTTCGTCAGTTCCGATTTCAATCCCAATTCCAAACAGATAAGATACTTAATGTAACATAATATAACATACATGTAATGTAACATAATGCAACATGTAAGATGACCATCTATAATCTTACTGTTCCAGCGCAGCCCAATTTGAAGCATGCACAAGCTTCTATTCGGCAATGTCACGCATGCGGCCTGCTCGATCTGATCTAATACCATACGCGAGCGACATGAATAGACGCATTAACGGATGGATTAATTAATTAATCAATCAACGAATCGATTGACAGACTTTCAACTTCACGCTTCAATTCCACCGCACCTCTGACCCGTACGCATGCAACCTATCGCCCCGTCAGCTTCTCGATCTCATCCCAAAGCGACAACCTTGTGGCGCACCCCCTCTGCCCACGACAATCAACCACAAGCCCCCGTTTCGCCTCGTGGATACACGTACGCGGGCGAAAGAATTGACGCACGGACAGCTCCCACTCTTTGGGGCATTTCAGTGCACTGCTGGCCTGCATACATCCACCTATGTTCATCCACCTACATTCATCCACCTACATTCATCCACCTACAAAATCATTTTTCTGACCTGCAGACGTCCTGCCAAAACCACGCCTCAGATCTGCATACATTCTGCTTCACAACACAAGTGCATAAATCTGCGACCTTATCGCATGCTTTGATTGGTCCGAATCGGAGACGGTGGCCATGGCTCTGCCATTGGCCCCCCAAACGATTGGAAGAGTAAGTAACAAATCACACGTCACTCCGAACCTCACCGATGAGTCGGGCTAGATTTGGTATCGGGCCGCCTCGCTGCTAGACATGCCCAGCATCTTGCTGACCCCGATCATCTCGCGTCTTGATTGAGAACTGTTCGGGACTGCAGCTGCGACCATCAGACTTCTGTCAAGCTATGAGATGTGGGTTGCACCATATGCGCTAGCTCCTATGCCTCTGGTCAGCCGCTCGGGTCTGGGTCATGACCATAATCAGGACGCACAAACGTCACGAATGTCACTGCATCATCCAGCCTTCATCAGTCTGGTTTCCATTGACATTTGGGAATCTTTTGGGGACTTTTTCAGATCGCAGCTTACCTGCTTGAACACCCTGATTTCTTTATCTTCGACTTTGACGGTCACCAATCGAAGCCGAAGCCTTTGCCTTTGAGGAGGTCTTGTCATTAAGAATTTTACAAGCACCATGACTTTCCTGGACATGTTGGGATCATCCTCCGTGATCTCTCTCGATCAAGTAGGAATTGGTGCAGCTGTAGTTTGTCTTCTCGTGAGTATGATTTGTTTCACGTTGTCAATCACTTGAGCCTTTTATCGCCAGGAGACTGATGTATACGTAACCAGACTATAGCTTACTTCGCTGCAAACGTCCTCTATAATCTTTACTTTCATCCTTTGAGAAAGTACCCGGGTCCGAAGCTCCTCGCAGCTTCTCGGATCCCATACCTCAAATGGATGTTCTCGGGGACTCTTGTGCCTGAGCATAGAAAACTGCATGAGCAATATGGGCCGGTCGTTCGAACAGCGCCCGGGGAGCTCTCGTATATCAGTGTAGAGGCCTTGAAAACCATCTACGGTCATCGTCAGCCAGGAGAAGGCTTCCGAAAGAATCCGGCTTTCTTTCAGCCAGCGACCAATGGCGTCCACTCCATCTTGACCTCCGAAGGAGATGCCCACAGTAGGGTTCGCCGGACTCTTCTGCCCGCCTTTTCCGACAAGGCGCTTTCGGAGCAGCAGGACATTTTGCAGCATTTCACGGGACAACTGATCGAGAAATTAGGGGACAGAGTCAAGGACACAGGGTCAAAACCAGTCGACCTGTTCGAATGGTACATCTGGACTACTTTCGACTTGATTGGAGATCTTTCGTTTGGCGAGCCGTTCAACTGCCTTGAACTTGCCCGCTTTACGGAATGGGTCGAGCTTGTATTTAATGCGTTCAAGACTTTTGCCTTTGTCAATATCAGGTATGAGTGTGATTGACCATGTTGTAGGACAGGAAAATACTAATCAAAGCATAGCAAGCAGTTAAGTCCTTTGGACAAGATCGTCAGGCTGATGATTCCAAAATCCATGAAAGCCCGACAAGATAAAGTTTTCAACTTGAATTGTGACAAGGTTGACCGGCGAATCGCATCAAAGTCAGACCATCCGGATTTTCTGTCTTACATTATCAAAAGCAGAGAGGGAGTGGCAATGCCAATCCAGGAGCTGTACGCAAACTCTACGCTCATAGTCCTCGCCGGGAGCGAGAGTACCGCGTCCGGTTTGGCAGGCATAACTTTCCAGCTGCTCAAGCACCCCGAGGCTCTGAAGAAAGCCGTTGACGAGATCCGCGGCGCATTCACCAGCGAACAGGACATTGAGCCTGACAGGGTGAAGCGGCTCCCATACCTCGCCGCCATCGTCTCCGAAGGTCTGAGGATGTATCCGCCCTTTCCGGAAGGGCTTCCCCGCCTCACGCCACGCCAAGGGGCCATGATCTGCGGCCAATGGGTTCCGGGCGGCGTAAGTCACGACCATCCATCCATCTGACAGCGCTTGCTAAACCCCCTTGGATGCAGACCTACGTCCAAGTCAGCACCCACGCGGCTCACCGCAGCACAGCCAACTTCAAAGATCCAGACGTCTTCATCCCGGAACGCTGGCTCGGCGACAAGGAATTCGCGACCGATAACAAAGAAGCCTCCCAACCCTTCTCTCTCGGTCCCCGTAGCTGCATCGGCAGGAAGTAAGTCAACTCATCCACATCTCTCTTTACCCTTCCCCGCACGAAAGGAACCAATGACACCAATAACAATTTTTTTTAGTCTCGCCTACCTCGAAATGCGCCTCATCCTCGCCCGCATGCTCTGGAGCTTCGACATGCACCTCTCCGCCGACTGCCAAGACTGGGACGAGCAGGACAGCTGGATCCAGTGGGACAAGAAACCCCTGCTGGTGCGGTTGCGCCCGGTCGGGAAGCCGGAATAGCGTCGATTCCGATTCATGGGGCAGAGAATCGTAGCCAGAGACGCTCTTTTCGTATGTATGTATGTATGTATGTATGTACGACCGCTGCGCACATCGCGGAGGGTGGGGGTGGGGAAGATTTTCCGACAGCGCAGCTCAACAGCCAGCCGGCACCGTAGCGGCGGTGTGAATTTCAATCGATGATGCTGTCCCGTCTCGTTTCAAAAAACTAAGCATACCGAAATAGAAAATCCGGGCACACTATAACTTTCGATGCTTGTACGACACCGTTCCTTTCCTTTCCTTTCCTTTCCTTTCCTTTCCTTTCCTTTCCTTTCCTTTCCTTTCCTTTCCTGTCCTTTAACCTATTCCCCCCGCCCCGTCATCGTAGATCCGCCCATCGGGACCTTTCGAACCCGGAAGCTTTCCCTCCCCATCCCTATCCCCCCGCCCCGTCATCGTAGATCCGCCCATCGGGAAACTTTTGACCCCGGAAGCTCACCCACGACACTCCGCCGTAGCCTCCGCGGACGCATCGAACATCCCAGTCTTTGAGCACGCAATCGTAAGCTATCGCCCACATATATAGTTCCGCTTACCGCGAACCACCCCCCCTTCCCCCGGCCAACGCAACATGCATACATACGTAGCATTCGAGTGTCCAGGGGGGGAAAAAATATTTATAAAAAATAGGTCGTTTTCCCGGTCGCTTGCGCTAAAGTTCGCCCCGGGGGGAAGAAAAAAAGAAAGGGACTACGGATGCGCATGTATGTCCGGCTTTTCGCTCATTGATAAACTCTCCCCAAGCAACTTTTCTCAATTATGTTCCACCATCAAAATCACAATCACAATCACAATCGCAATCGTCCCGACCCCGACACGTGCCCCGAACCCCCGCCTCTCGCGCGCGCGATGTTGAATCCCGACTCCCATCCCCCACGCGCAGCGGATGGCCCCGAATAGGCAAGTTAAGGTACATACAACACACGAACCAAACCCCCCCCCCCCTTCCTCCCCCCCCCCCCCCTCCCTCAAAGCCTCCAAACCTCAAACCCCAACCTCCTCGTCCCCTCAATCTGCCACTTCTCCCCGAAGCCCTTCGCGCGCTCCAACCGGGCCTCGACGCGCCACTCCGTGCCCGTGACCCTCCCCACCTCCTCCCACAGGCGGGCGAAGCTGGCGAGGTCGTGGCGGAAGAGGACGCCGCCGCTAGGGATGGGGATGGGAACCACGTCGGCGACGAGGGCGCCGACCTGGACGCCCATGACGAGGCTGCCGGCGCGGGGCCGGAGCAAGCGGACGACGCGGACGCAGACGCGGACGCAGGCGGGGAAGTCGAAGTGGTGGAGGAAGAGGCCGAGGTGGACGACGTCCATTTCGCCGTCGAGGCCGCGCAGGGGCAGGTCGCGCGGGTCGAGGACGTCGGCCGGGAAGAAGGTGGCGCGCAGGGTGCGGCGGTCGCGGAAGAGGGCGTAGCCCAGCTCCAGGAACTCGCCGTGCAGGTCCGCGCCGTAGAGGTTCTCGGCCCGGGCGCCGTCCGCGACGAGCTTGCGCACGTCCTGCGCGAAGCAGCAGCCCAGGTCCAGCAGGGTGTGGGCCGGGTCGCGGAGGCGGGCGACGAGGGTCGGGTAGTAGGGCGAGAGGTTGATGGTGAGGTTGAGGAAGAGGAACTGCCCGATGCAGGGGTAGGGGTAGACGTCCCAGGCCTTTTCGCGCTGGAGGGAGGGGGGAAGAACGGGCGTTAGCGGCGGTGGTGATGGTGGGGGAAAGATGGATGGGGTTTGGCGGATGGAGAGTGGGAGAGGAAGGGAAACGTACGATTGCAAATACGTGCGGCTTCACTTGATCCGAGGGGATCTTGCTGTAATTTTCCAGGAGGTCGCGGGTTACGGGATCGATCTCTGCGAGTGAGGTATGGTACCTGGCTTCCTCAGCAAAAAAAACGGAATGTTTGATGAGATACAGGGCAAAAGAATTCGCCGAGGTAAAGAGACTGAATCCTACCAAGGAACAGCTTTGTTGTCTTTCACAGGTTTACTTTCGGGCTGGAGCGGTGGGATGATCGTATGGCCGTTTGTCGCGGTGGTCTCCAGATTGGTCTCTGGTTGAGGTGGCATTTTGGCGTCTTCCTGGTCCATGGTACCGTTCAAAAGCCAGTTCACGTCGGAAGAAGCGATTAAATTGTCAGGTTGGTCGTCAAGGCGGTGCAGCGGGGGAGGTAGAGGAGCAGTGGAAGTCATTGTAACAGAAAACTTTCTGGCTAACACGCAGGCGTGAATTCGGGGATAATGGAGATAACCCTATAGTTTCCAATAGACCAAATTACTTTGGCTTGTGCAGGGGAAGATTGGATGCGAGAAATCGCGCTTTGAGCGGCGGAGAAAAGGGATGAACGAAAGACATCTCGAACCCGCAGTTCCTTGTATGTCATACAGCACCATCATGGTCACAATCGTGTTCATAATCATCACCTCCACCAACACCGCCAATGCCACCATCACCACCGCCATCTACACCACCATTATAAGAAGCACTATCCCAAAGGAGAATCTTACCAACAAGACATGTCGTCTAGAATAACTTTCGTTTAAAAATGCCCCCGTGTGTCTTGGGGGTGTGTTGGCGCTTCTTGGCGCGTCCTACTATCGGCTTTCGGCGCGATAGTAGGCACCGAGGGTTAAGCTCACGGGCCGAAGCTTTAAATTCCCCGTGCTCCGATGTCTGTCAAGAAACCATTTCTTCCGGTTCGCCAATCGCCCCAACTCGGCCTTGTCTTTCAGTTGACTTTTTAGCCGACTTTTAGGCGACTTTTCTCGAGCCACCTAGCAACCCGCTCGGTTACGACTGCGAAATTTCTGAACCCTGGATTGGCGGGATTAAGACACCTGTAAGCCTCGTGAATATTGGCTGGACAGTGTTGAATCTCGAAGCCTTGATGATCTGTCTGTCATGCATACATACGCGCTTTGATGGATGCATGTAAGAACGGAAACAATACATACAATATCACAAGGCAAAGCGATAGGCTCTCCTCTTATCTCACCAAGTCGAATCTGCATGCATGAGTGATTGTGGCTTGAATGCTTGGACACGGACCCCGTGGAAGATCTTGTCCTTTGTGGTCGGACTTTTGGGTAGATGAGCTTGTCCTTGTTGTGGTGTCGTCATGGATAGATCTGATCGGAGGAACGTGGGAGTTGTGGGTCGCAGCAGTAGCACATGCTATCGCCCACTTTTTCTTCGCGAGATATTTGCGCTGGCACGGTGCGACCATTGGCTCTCGGCTGTGCTTCGAATTCTTTTTCGCCACAGGCCAACTTGAAGCCAACCACGTAAAATAAGTGTTTTGGCGGTCGAGATGGAAGACGCAAAGGCTTTCAGTGCTCCGGTCACAGGCTTCAACGACAGCTCAGTCTCAGTCTTCTCCAAATCCAATTTGGACTCGGAAGCTGGCGACATAGAGCTCAATGAACTGCAGGATCACAGTGAACGAAAAGCCGATAATATCTCGACTGACCAAATTGAACTTGTCCCAAAAAAAGCCGACCTGGAAGCCAATGTTTCCGCAAGCTCTCAAACATCAGGCAGGGACCAGAAGAATGAGGATCAAGTCGGAGATTCCAACACTGTCGACTGGGATGGTCCGGATGATCCGAAGAATCCAATGAACTGGCCGGCGTGGAAGGTAAAGACGCATATCTTCCTTGTCAGCGCCATTACTTTCATTAGGTGAGTCTGAACCTCCACGGAAACCAATCTCACTTGATGGACCACTGAACATCTTATGACGGCAGCCCTTTGGGATCCTCCATCCTCGCTACAGGAATACCGCAGATCATGGCCGAATTCCGGTCAACGAACGAGGAGCTTGGGTCTCTTGTGGTTTCAATATACCTGCTCGGCTTTGCGGCTGGGCCGTTGGTGATAGCGCCATTGTCTGAAATGTATGGGAGGTTGCCGCTATATCACTCGTGCAACACAATCTTTGCAGCCTTCACCGTCGCCTGCGCACTCGCCCCAAGCATGAATAGCCTCATCGGTCTTCGATTCCTCCAAGGCTGCGCAGGATCGGCACCACTGGCGATTGGTGGAGGCACAATCTCAGACCTCATCCCGCAGGAGCGGCGTGGAAAGTACATGGGTATATATGCTCTGGGCCCGACGCTGGGACCAATCTTTGGACCGGTCGCTGGTGGTTTTCTGACAGGGGCCAAGGGATGGAGATGGCTTATGTGGTTGCTTCTGATGATTGTGAGTCGTTCTATCTCGGTTAATGTTTGACTGTACCTTCGATGGGCTTTGGTCATCACAACTGACGGTTGTAAACGCAACAAGGAGGGATCAATCACGCTCATGAACTTCGTCTTCATGCGAGAGACCTACGGTGTCGTGATCATGGCTCGCAAAACGCGCGCTCTCCAGCTCAAGACCGGAAACAAGGCTCTGCGATCTGTGTTCGATCAGGGTCTCACAACGCGCCAGCTCTGGCGCAATACCCTCATACGTCCGATCAAGATGCTGGTCTTCTCGCCGATCATCTTCCTCCTGTCCCTTTTCATGGCCGTCGTGTACGGCTATCTCTACCTGCTCTTCACGACCTTCCCCGTGGTGTTTGGGACCTACTATCATTTCTCGATTGGGATAACCGGACTGGTATACCTCGGCCTCGGCGTCGGAAACATCATCGGATTGGTCATCTTTGGTGTTTTCTCAGACAAGATCCTCTTGGCCAAAGCAGCCAGTGGGGAACTGAAGCCCGAGTATCGACTCATACCGATGGTCTGGACCGCCTTCACTGTGCCCATCGGCCTCTTTCTGTACGGCTGGTCGGCGAGGTATGCGATTCATTGGATCGTACCAATCATCGGCACCGGCTTCTTCGGCATCGGACTCCTCGTCACCCTGGTATGCACTCTGACCTACATGGTGGACGCATTCACCGAATACGCCGCCAGTGCGACCGCCGCGAATGCGGTGATGAGATCAATCTTTGGCGCGACGCTGCCTCTGGCCGGGCCGAAGATGTACCAGGCGTTGGGTATAGGCTGGGGTAACAGCTTGCTGGCATTCATCGCGCTGGCCGGGTGTCCGATCCCGTGGATCTTCTACAAGTATGGTGAGCGGATACGGAAGTCGAGCAAGGCGACTTATTAGGGTCGTTGGTTGGAAGAGAAGGGAGGTAAGCAGCAGTCAAGCGGACAAAATGTGGTCCGCGGATCAGGAAGTCGCAATTTGCAGGGCGGTGTAATGAATCATATACCTTTTGTCGGACACGAAACTGACTTTTGTTCAATTCCCCGGCCGACGCAATCCCACCTCGTTGACCGAAAGAAGCAGGACCGGTGGACTCCTGGTGCCGACCTCCGTCCTTTAGCCTCCTCAAAAAAACAATCGGGAATCTTAGCGCGGATCTCTTGTACGTCTCATTCACCAATTCAGAATCTCCTTCCATCCCATCAATGAAAAAAAAAGTCCAGCCAGCCGCGCAATCAACCCATCACCTTCCCCCCCATTCCCTCGATCATGAACGCAGCGAGCGACCTCATCCATCAACGCTCTCTCATCCTCTTGTCTCCTCCTCTCTCCCCTTCTCTTTCACCCTCCCCCTTCGCCATCCCAACCCCATGGTCGAAAACCTTCCCCAAAGGCCACAGACCCCGCCGCCAACCATCGTCATGTACCGGATACCCGGCATCGGCATCGGCATCGGCATCCCGGCCCCATGGTCGGCACTTCCCCCCCCAAAGGCCACAGACCCCGCCGCCAATCATTCGTCATGTACCGGGTGCCCGGCATTGGAGCGGCGGTTCCGTTGCGGCCGAACCCGCAACATATCACCCTCGTCTTCTGCGTACATTAAAGTAGCATCCATCTTTCTCTCTCTCTCTCTCTCTCTCTCTCTCGATCATGTAAAACAACTTCGCCCAACCCCCCGCCCCCCCTTCCATGCCCGGTTCTTGGAAATTGGCAGCTCAACCCCACGCCGTATATGTATACGGCTCCTCGCGGGTCACGGTTTGAATTCGAACGACGTGACGCTTTTGGCTATGGAGGTGTAGAGCGTATGTAGTCTCGGTGTTGCAGGCCGTTGATGGGGGAGGCAGAGGCTGCGATTTGGATATATTAGATTTGTGGGTAAGGGCGAGGCTTGTAGGTGGGATCGATCAGGCTTGAGGTTGTTGAGGAGGAGGTTTCGGAAGGAGCTGCTGAGGTGGGGTGGAGAAGGGGACTTGGGATCCACGTAGGTAGGAATAGTGGAGGGATTGGATGAGGGGGAGGTTAATGGCGGGTTGGATGGGTATAGGGGTGGGAGTGGATGGAGGGGGTTCGTTGTGCAGTCGAATGTATGATGAGAAAATCAAACGCTCTTGCATGTGCTTAGACTACACTGAAAAGACTGTGCTCCTTTCCCTCATACGCAATTCTGTCCCAACTCCTTTACTATTTCATCACACCGCCCCCTCTTCAACTCTACCAATCATCATTCAGCCTCTTCTGCAACTCCAATAGGACGAGAGAGCGTGGAGGTATTGCCTTCCTTACTTTTCTAGAACATGGGGCTTCCGGCTCTTACTTGCTGGAGGCCCTCATGCGCCTTTCCAGCCAATCCATTGAATTTGTCGCCCATGATCAACCTGAGCTCTCCAACCAAAACCATGATGAACATGATGGTAGTAAAGACGGAGATGAGGAAGACCTTGAGGTAGAGCTTCATCAGCCTGATCCTTGCAGATCCGTCAAACGACTTCCAAGCATCAAGCATCGACACGGCACCGCTGCCGCCCAAAATCTCCGGTTTGACTTTGCCACCGAAGGTGCGGTCGAAGGGGACAATAGCCTCATCCTCCTCAGGCAGCATGGAAGCTTGGACACGCTTGAGTGTGACGTCGGCTGGGATGACGACAAGAACGAAGATGCCAATGCCGATGAGACCGATGAGGAACATCTGCAGCAAGGCAATATTCTGCGCGCGAGCGACATTTTCACGGGCCTCTTCATTGAAAGCCTGGGCAGCAAGGAGGAAAAGAGCGCCTGGCACGTAGATTGTAGCTTGTTCGGCGATGGCGAAGACAGCGGTGGGAATGAGGATGTTCCTAACAGCAGTCCTGGAGGGGATGCGGCGGAACCAGCTCTTGCTGCTACGGTTAGAGATGACGATGTGGGTCCAGGTCATCTGAAGACGGCAAAGCGCGATGCTTGCGAAGACGGCAATGAAGGGGCGAGCGACAGGGTGGCTGATGACGTGGGAGCTGAAGAAGCCGACGACGCCGCCGTGCAGAATGTGATAGATGATTGAGACGTGGAGACCACGGAAACGGGCTAGAGGACCGGCTTGGGCGCGGAGGTGCTTGATGGTTGTGCGTATTTTGGATGTGATGGGCTTTTGCTTGACGAGGAAGAGGTCGGATTCGATGACCTTGGCCTTCTCGGATTTCTCGTCTTGAGATATGAGAGGTGCGTCGATTTCATCGGAGTCGGAGTATTCAGTCTTGAAGGCTGTGGCGGTGGGAGTCTCGATGATGGTAAGTGTTGCTACGACGTCGCCATAGGTGTAGGAGATCTGGTGGTGGAAGTTAGCCTCGCCGGTCGTTCGCTACGGAGGGTGATGCTAGACCACTTACCATGGAGATCACGGCCAAGTAGAGGGCAACGGTAGCGAAGATGAGCACGGCGGCCCAGTGGAACTTGTAAAGTGTCTGTTCTGCGTCGTTGCCGTTGTAGTGCTGCTGGGTGACGTCTATAGCGCGGCTGACAAGATGATGAGCCATTCCAGCGGTCATGGCTGCGGTGGGACGTCTTTCTTTGAGATCAATAGGGCCTAATGATGAGTGTGAGGTAGTATATCGTTGTTCGAGGTGAGATGGAGAGGCAATATGAACAGATTGTGTAGGAGGAAAGAACGAAGGAGTCCAGGCAGCTGTGTTACGGACGTCGGTCCAACCTCTGAGCCGGGAGGCGCAGTCTGATCTCATTGGTCGAGCGACTTGGACCCTGCGCTAAATTTACGGAGGTCTGTCTATTATTAGACCAACAGAATTGTTGGCAGTTGCGTGAACTGAACGGAGCAGATCAAAACGTTCGATAATGTGCTAATAGAACTACTCGAGAATAAATTTGGTCGGCCAGGGCGTTCGCCTGATTGGCAATCTCTGCACCATCAGTAGGTTGCTGCGTTCTCTGGGGCTGTTCATGAATCCTTCCTTCAATTGGCCTTTTTCTCGCAGCTTGCCCGCGTTTCATTGTGGACTGAATACAAGCCTGACTCGCGATGGACTCGCATTCTGTGTGTGTTCATCTTGAGTGCAATCGATTGCGAGAGACTCACCGTTATCTATATATGGGATTCAAGTTTTTCGGCGTCGAATTCCCAACGAACACTAGAGATCAGCTTTATTATCTCACTTCATCTTTCGTATACTCCGGAAAAAGATGCGATGTGCCCTCATCGCAAAAGCGAAAAGTTAATCCCTCATGCCGCTCGCTGTCCTTCCGCCCATTGTGTCGTTCTACGAGCTTAGGGAAGTCAAAGTGCCTGCAGCAGAGACAGCAGGAAAAATACCCGCAAATACTGAAATGGAGGTGAGGATCAGCTGCTAAGTGCGCTGCATGGAATGACCAAGATACCCTTTGCTGCAAAATGCAAAATCATAGGAGTGTCATAATCTGCAACTGCCACAATCGTATGGCGGGGGTTCAGGGGTGCAGAGGGGGTTAATGATTAGGATAGCTATGGCTGGGGGGGTTGTTGTGTACTTGTCGATTGTGCTTCATCATCTTTTATACCCTTTCGAGCACACCGAATCCATCGCCGTCGCGATTGCTACCTGTTCAACTTGGTGGCCGAGCTGTCTACCGTTCTTGTAACTGAATACTCGAGTGTGCAGGCGCACCTTTTATGACACGGATGTTAGCCCTGAACAGAGCTTTTCATCCGCTTAGAGATGGTCCTCCACACGTTTCGGCGGATGCGACCTGGACGAATCAAAGCGGTCGCACCGAGCTATTATGCGGTGCTTGAGTACAGCAAATGCCGCCAAATGGATGTTGGTTTTAGAGACATTCCTTCCTGTTTCAAAGGTCCTAGCATGCGGCGTTGCTCAGGCTTGACTGTCTCCATCAACGAATCGTGCTGAAAGTCCTTACAGGCATATATATGGACGGCGGCTCAGAAGCCAAAACATCCTCGTTGCGACGGGTGTACGACTACAGTGGTCAAACGATTCGTACCGTCTGCTGATCGAACCGAAACTAAGTTCCCTGCCAACCGTTTCAGCCATCGGCTGCCCCCAGATCTCATTGCTGTCAGAATATCAAGACGCTCGTCCCCCGTGACTATGGTAAGTATGAGGTACAACTTGAACGAAGTCAGCTTCTAAAGCCCCAAGTTCGAGGTCTCAATCTCTTAATCAGTAGTGCAAAGCTCATGCCTTTGTGCATGGCGATAGAAGACGCACATAATGGCTGCCCTGTGAGCAAGTGACTGAAGCAAGGATTATTTCCGCTGCTGCAATGGCCACGAAGCCGAAGATTCTCGCTTTCGCTACACACTTTGGGTGAAAGTTTTCGTTCTCTAGTAACATCCACAAATTTGCCTAGATTCGTCGGTCGAATATCGTAGATAGCTAGGCCTAGAACATGGACTGTGTCTGATACGGCACATCTCATTTTCTTCTCATTTTCTTCGTGGTTTGTCGCGCTCCTGTCTTCCTAGAAACAAAAACATGTTCAACAACAGTCTCGCCAGATACTGAGCTATGGCCTGTCACACACGCTGTACAATCTATATTTCCACGCTCGAGCTTTTTGTTTCGTGACTATAGAGCTGACTCATAGCTCAAGACAAAGCTCTATACAAGCGCTTGACGATCCATCCAATTCATGCCAACTTGATGCTTTCAGTCAGAGCGGTGGCTTGATACAGACTCCACCGAATTTAAAGAGGCCAGCCAGCGATTCTCACCAGATCCAAGCGGCTGCACAGGATGTAAGTAAGCGTTGGCTACTCGTCTAAAAGAAACCATGAGTGTTCTCTAGCTTATGTTTGCGTATTTTCTCGTTGTCGTTTCGTCGCCATTGCGGAAGGTCCGAGCATGGAGGAAGAAGAGGTCCTGCCCCAACAGTTCTTTGCCTTTACTAAGCTTTCAAGACTTCCTGTCACGTAGAAATCAGCTCACATAGTGCCTCGAAGTTGCCAGAAGCGTGTCAAGAGATGCATTGAGAGTGATTTTGTTGCCATCAACATATGAATAAATACAATGCGTTCGTGACGGCCAAAAAAGTCAGACTCATCCACATTCCGCGCAAATTCTACCGAAAGTACAACTCGCCCGGCTTTGCTACATCAGCTTTCTCAAGGACGACTTCAGGTGAAGAAGAAGAAGAAGAAGAAGAAGACGTAGAGTTATTAGGTCCATTGTCCTCCAGAGTGGTAAGTATCTTCCTTTGGCCAAAGCTGATGGACTGCGCCATTTGCGGGAAGCAAAAGCCAGGGTGGAAGACCGTCAATGCAATAGCTGCGACAGAACACATCACGCTGTCCAGCGCGATGAATTCGGCCTGATCTTGCATGAGTGGATTGCCCCATCCACCCATCATCTCCGCAATCCTGTAGACACATCGGGTGAAAATGGTTGAGAAGGCGATGATCACTGCGCCGGCGAAGAGCTTGAAGCGTAGTGTCTGTAGTTGAGGGTTTACTAGTGTTCCTTCCTTCTCTGGGACTCCATTGCGTCGGGCGAGCTGTCGGCGGAAGAAGAAGAGTCCCGCCAGTGAGGCGAAGATTGCGAGCGTCACTACTTGCATGATAATGCCGGCGATTGCGATGTTGCTTCCAAGGCTCAGTTGATTGAAATTGCCAATGGCGCCAGCGGATAATCCTCCACCAACGGCCTGCAGACTGAGAGCAAAGCAATCACCGGCAATGAAGAGCCAAGTGTAGTACTTCGGTTTAAGATAGGTGTACTGCGGTCCGAATGCTTTGACGATATGCTTCAAAGTCAAGTAGATTCCCACGGCTAGCCAAGCTGGGCCCATGATCAGACAGCAGCGCTGCATGATGAACCCACTGTTGGCGAATGGATTATGGTGAAGAATGAGGCGCCCGACGTAGCCGACTGCTTCGACGAGACAGCCGCAGGAGAGAGCGAACGTGAATGTCCATGTTTTGTATTTGATGCCGAGATAGAGTTGGGTGATGAGGAGGATGATGAAGAGAGCGAGGAAGAAGGCGTTGGCGGGGAGGGAGGGAAAGTAACCGTAGATCGAGTCTTGGACAAGACGTCTCGTGGTGACGGCGTCACAGGTGTATACGTTGGCGTTTGAGGACATATGGACAAGGGAGAGGGGAGCAGCAGATGTTGCAAAAGTGGAAGGAAGACAGTCGCGAGAGAAGCAGAGGTTGCGGAATATTGCAAGTAGTTGTCAATGTGAGAATGCAATAGACTGAGATGATAAATACTGATTTCCATGAAAGGAATCCAGCTTCTTATACGCAACGACAGGAAAGAGATGACGCACCTTGGTTGTGTTAGTAGAGATTCTCAAGTATTACCTCTTTGGGAGCACTTTTCGCAGCCATAGCCCGACTTCACGAGTCCATGTCTGATACATCATACAAGGAAAATATGTTCTTTCGACGCTAAACCCAAAGGGGTGGACTTTCCGTAGCGCCAACCTATTATTATGAATGCCAACAAGTCGACATGAGGGACTTTGTCCTACCTTCTAACTAGTCTTCTACCATTGCATTCCACTCAAGGTATGATGCAGATACAGATATCTGCTAGGCGCTGCTAGACAGCAGCGGCCAATCATGGCTTCTTCGGTGCGCTCCTTCGCAGAATCCTCTTGAACCATGCCGCATACAGGAAAGCCCAGTGGGGCTTGTCAGCAGTGCAAGCAGTGTCATGTAAAGGTCAAACGAATCCTGGACGCTTCTGTCTTCCGTCTCTCAAGAATGCCCTTGTTGATGTTGATCAGTGCGATGAAGCAAGACCTGCTTGCGGCAAATGTGTCAAAGCCAAACGTGTCTGCTTCGGCTACTTGGAAGGACTGGATCTTGTCCTGCGCCATCAGAACGAAGCCGCAAAGGCTGGAGTCAACAGGCGAGTGCACGAAAACAAGAGCAGGTTCCAAACGCCCGAGGATTCCTTCAGGCCTCAGCCTTCTACCACCTTTGCCGTGCCCCATCCCCTCTACGAGCCGGAGGAAACAAACGCACAATGCTTTTTCGTCTCCACATTCGTTCTGTATGGACGAGACACTTCAGCTGACCGAGGATTTCTTGTTCAACAGTCTGCGCGTAGAATCTCCCCTGTCGCTGTGTATATCCGCGGCGTCTAATATCCTATTTGCTAAATGGGAGCGCAAAAATCGTATCGCGGAGCGCTACGCATTTCTCTCTTACACAAAGGCTTTGGAAGCCACCAGAGTGGCTTTGCAGGATCCAGTCGAGAGCATGACTGATGAGACTTTGGTGGCAGTATGTCTACTTGGCTTCTACGAGGTACGCCCAATAGTCTGAATGCAAAGTTGGGGGCAGAGGCAGTCTTTGCTACTCCGCTGAATAAATTCAATGCGAGGCTATGCCACTGACCACACCAAGCTTCAACGAATGCCATGAACTCCAGAATTTCGCCTGCAACCCATTTTAACGGTGCCGCCGCACTAATCCAACGGCGAAAGAACATTCATCAAACGACGAAACTTTCCAAGAAGTTACTGATAGCAGTCAGAAATAACATTGTAAGCCTCTTGCAGATTGCGATGAATGCGTAAATTGACAGCTGGCAGGTTTTCCGAGCGATCCATTTCTCATATCCGATAGATACGGCTTCTGGAATATGGGACGAAGATCTTGATGACATGCCTCGAAATCCTGCAATCTTATTGGACCTCATGTCAGTCGAGGTAGCAGGCCTCCTGGCTGATGCCGTTCACACACCTCCCAAGGTCATCGGCTCAGGCGACGATGGAGACGAATCATTGAATCGTACAGATGGGCTGCTGGAAAGAGCACAATCCATAGATGCTTGTCTTACGTCCTGGCCCGAGACATTGCCCTTACACTGGCATCCTATTCGAGTCTCCAAGGACACCATACCGCAGGAAGTGATCGACGCTGGAATATACGAAGGAAGCTGTGAAATTTACCCGGACATTATGATCTGCAGCACATGGAACGACTGGCGAGTCGCTCGTCTCAGAATCCTTCATCTCATTGCCCAGCTTCGTCTCGTCAGTAGCCTCGATCGTGGTGAAACTGGTGCACGAATCATCACTGAGATAGAAAAGCTAATGAATGGCATTTGCGCTAGCATACCATTCTGCCTCGGTAGTCGCACTGAGCCTGCGCCTTTTTACCAGGCTGATGTGGTTTATCCTGGACTCAAAGGGCGCTTGGATTCGAAGGAGCACGAAAAGACTGCCAGTGCATATGGAGGATGGTACTTATTCCGGCCTTTCAAGGAGTCATTGCAATTGGGACCATATATAAGCGAAAGCCAGCAGGAATGGCTGCATTCTCAACTTTTGCGCCTTGCGAAATTGTACGATATTGAAATATTACTCGCAATGAGGGGCCGCGCGAAGATCGCGAATCAACCACGGCAAGCTTGCATACAAGAATTCCAGTATGAAAATTGCTCTTCAAAGCTAATGCTACAACTCTTGAACTTGAAGTTTGAGTGGACATCTCATCGGTGTTGTACTACTCAGCTTCATTTCTCGCCTTCATTGCAAAGCAAAGATCCACCCCGAGCCGGCCCCCTTTTCTGGCAAAGGATATCCGAATCATAATGCAGCCATTGGGGAGAACCCCACCATAACCTCGCCGTGTTTATTACCAAAGACCTCAGCGTTGGGTCAATTCAGGCTTTGCCTGCTGGAACTGAAGTTCAAAAACACGTCATACCCTTATGAACTAAGACACGCCCGAGAGCAGGTCGCTACATCCCTTCTCAAGTATTCTCTAAGTACACTACAGCGAGCTAGTCACAGGCACACGGAGAAATGTTATGGCTCTGACCACTTTTCGCCCTGTTTGCCATCTTCAGCTTTGGAGGCGCCCTAGCCCTCCACTCAATCCAAGCGTTCTACTCTGTAACGCGAAGTACCTGGATGACCTGGGAGATCCGGCATTTCGGGATTCGCATCGGAAGTCCTAGCAGCGTCGACTGTGTCGGCAACTTCCACATTCGTGAAGGCTTCCAGTTTCTCGACTTTGGCCCTTATCACTTGGAAGACATCGTTAACTTCAATGACGGCCCTAGCAATCTTCAGCTTGTCGCTAACTTTTTTCATCGCTTGATCAGCAACTTGGATCTTCTTGAGAAATTCAGCGATTAACTTCCGGTCTACCAAATCGGAGTTTGCGTCAGTGGAAAAAGCACCGTCCTTCTCCCAGATAGCAACCTGCATCTGGAAGGTGTCGATCATCTGTCCGAGCACATTCAGATCAATCACTGCGGGTATTTCGTGAGCTCTCGAAGCTTCATTGTTGACAACGGTTCTGGCAAAGTTCACACTCGCGATAGCTTTCAGTTCCCCATAAGCTTTCTTCGTCGCATGAAAAGAGTCCGTCACCCTTTTGACAGCGTTGCTCGTCTCGAGGCCAGAGGATCCGGGAATCTTCTGTGCGGACAGAGCTCCATCCACATTTCTGGCAGCGTTGACGACGGTAGCATTGTCCTCAAACGCTTTGAAAGCGTCGGGCACTTTCTTGTGAACGAAGTCCTCCACGGTCTGGAAATATGACGGCTCGGAAACTCCGTCAATGGGTAAAATACCCTGCCTTTTCCAACCATCAACCTTTTTCGTCAATTTGACAATCGCGTCTTTCATCCTCTCAAGATCAGGCAATCCAGATATTGCGTCAACGGCCATAGCACTCTCGTACTTTCTATTGGCCTTCCTTATCGCCTCAATCCAACGGTACATCTTCTGGACGTCCTCCATCATCGTCTCCCGATCTGCATAGTTCGCCAGATCTGGAAATCCGGGGTTCGCTGTAGGGGACATGGCATATTCGACCTTCCTAGCCGCGTCCTTGATCGCCTCCGGAAGCCAGTCAATGCTACCAACGTCCTTTTCAATATGCGCATATCTCGCATAACCGTCCTCGTCAACCTCTGGGTCTTCCAATTTGAACACGAAGGCGTCACCGAAGATCGGCTCGTGCATGGCCGCGAAAAGGGCATTGTCGTTCCGTGGGGATGTAACTTTCGGATATTCCCCTCTGCACACGAGCAGGAAATAAGGCATAGGCTGGCCGTCCTTCTCCAACCTGACGATTCTCTGCGCCGTCGTGGCGGCATCGTTGAGGAAGCCCCAGTACCGCTCGACATCGGGGAGGTTCTTGAAGAATAAGGTCTGCGGGTGGCGGAAGTAACTGACGGGGATCAGGGATACTTCGACCCGATGCATCGTGCTTCGCTTGGCATTCCTGTTCCAGGGTATGCGGGCGATGTAGACCTTTGGGCTCCCTAGGTACACTGGATTGGCGTTGGCTAGGATGGCCTTCCTGGGTCGAGGCTGCTGGGCAGATGTGACTTGCTGCTGTTGCTCGGACGATGATTTCTGAGGTTGTTTGCCTTTGACGGAGGGATGCTTCGATTGTTCGGGCGAGGCTTGTTGAGGCTGCTTGCTTTTAAAACTGGCTTGTACCGGTTGCTCGACTTGCTTGCCCTTCGGGTCGGCTTGAACAGATTGCTGGGGCCGAGGCTGCTCCGGTTGCTTTCCCTTGGTTTTTGCTTGTACCGGTTGCTCGACTTGCTTGCCCTTCGGGTCGGCTTGAACAGAGTGCTGGGATCGAGGCTGCTCCGGTGGCTTCCCCTTAGTTTTTGCTTGTACCGGTTGCTCGACCTGCTTGCCCTTCGGGTCGGCTTGAACAGGTTGCTGCGGTTGATACCGCTCCGGTTGCTTGCCCTTCGGGTCGGCTTGAACAGATTGCTGGGGCCGAGGCTGCTCCGGTTGCTTTCCCTTGGTACTTAATTGTAGTGGCTGCTCGACCTGCTTGCCCTTAGCGTTCTCTTGCTCTTGCACCAGCTGCTTCGGAGAAGGTTCCCGCGTCCGCTTGCGCGTAGGGAGTGTTTGCACCGGCGGTTCTGGTGGAGGCTGCTGCATCGGCCGCGTGCTCGCAGAGGTGCCTTGCGTCGACCGCTCCGTTTGGGACTGCTGGGACGGCGGCTGCTGGGATTTCTTGCCCTTGGGATTCCAACGTCAAAGATGTCAGGATGGGAAATACATACTTCACTCACCTGCTTAGATGAAGGCATGGTCACACGTTGCGGACCTAACCTGGATGGGACGGAGGCTGTCCCGAAAGCTCATGAGAAGTTGGAAAGGTTGCGAGCTTGAGTGCAGGAAGGAAATACGAAGAAAGAGTGCATGGAAAGAAGAAAGGGAAAAAACAGATACAAATTTAGAACCGCTAACCTCAATACACACCCCTACCCACCCGAGCAAAATCTCAACGAAAACACCCCCGTCCTCCTCCGAACCAAAAACACACCATCGCCAATATCCGCCATTGGCCAAAAACACCACCCCCGCCATCGTTCATCTCTCGGGAAACAGTGTCCACACATTCTCGTCCCTTCTCTTCCCCATCCGCCCGCCGACTAAAACATCAACCGGCGACGTGGCGGCCCCGGAGACCGTGACGTTGTTCTTCTCCGACCGCCCTCCGACTCGCTCGCTCGCTCGAGCCTTTTTCCCTTCTCGTTCGCACGCACCCGGCCAAGGCAAGGCCGGGATAGATAGATAGATAGATAGATAGATAGATAGATAGATAGATAGATAGATAGATAGATAGCACGCTCAAGGATGAATGGCTGGACCTAGGACGGTCAGTTCTACACGAGGCGAATCGTGCATCGATCCAGGAATGCGTGGAGGCGGTTGGTGGTGAGATGTAGTCGAGGTTCCTCGGGTCCGCCTTCGCGCCTGATTCCATCACCGGAGCTCAGCCTGCTACGTGCCGTCTTTTGATGGGATAACAGGGAGGGCGGAAATTGAGAACTTCTCGTCCCTCTTCAACACCCGAATCGGGGCTGAAAAAAGGGAGACTCGTATCGTTTAGGCGAATGGCTCTTAAGCTCAAGACATGCGATAATCTCATGCGTCCGCAGACACGGACGTCACAAGTCATTGGGGAAATGAGCTATTGTACACCCCTATCTATGCTCAACGACATGTGGGTGTGCGTATATGCAAACCATGCCTTTTGGATATCATTAAACGCTGACTGGTGGACTCGTTATTCCGAATTCTCAACCCGACCTTGTTCACTTCACAGCTTGACACCAACACCTGCCACTCCCTTCTCGCTCCACCTGGACCACTACGTCCATGTGCCTGCTCTTTAGATAGGCAATTGCTCTCTCCTTCACATCTTCCAAGTCCGCGCCCTTGCCAGCAATAACGTGAATGACTCCCAGAACTTTCCGATTCTCACCCTCTTCTAGCCAGAATTTGGGTACAGCGTAGCCGACGACACCTCTCAGACTACTCAAACCTGCCAAAGCCTCTCGTAAATCATACTCGGTATCATCCGGAATGGTCAACAGAAGGGTGCGGGCAGAAGACGTAACAAGAGGGATGGCGGAGGCGAAGATGAGGATAGCAATGAGGCAAGAAGCCAGAGGATCAAAGCCCGACCAGCCGTAGAAGTGGATAAGGATGGTGGATATGACTACGGCGACGGAGCCGAGAGTGTCGGCCATGACGTGCAAGAATATCCCGTGCATGTTTTCGTTGCCGTGATGATGGTGCCCATGACCATGGGAACCGTGGCTGTGAGCATGGGAGACCGGATTAAGAGGTTTGGAAGGAGTTGATGGTACAGAGGGGTAGAGCGAGGGACTCGGGGTTGGCCCTGTGTGAAGATGATCATGTAGGTGGTCATGGCCATGAGCGCTGTGAGAAGGGTGTTCGTGTCTTGGAGGGGAGTGATCGTGATGGCAATGATCGTTATGGGTGTGGTCGTGATGTGAATGATCGTGATGAGCATGGTCGGGATGAGATTGATCGTGATGGGCATGGTCATGATGAGAATGATCATGGTGTGGATGGCCGTCTTCATGCTGGTGACCTTCATTGGAATGATCTGAATGGTCATGTCCGCCGTGCGAGTGCCCATGCCCATGATGTGCGTGGCCGAAGGCGGTCATGCCAATAATGTTCACTAGCAGGCCGAGGGTGCTGACAGTCAGTAGCTCTCCAAGATTATGAATTTGGTTGCCCCCAGCCAATCTCTCAAGTGCCTCGTAGACGATCTCGATGCTGATGAGCCTGATGCATGGTTAGCGTTGAGGACTAAACTGTCGGAAAGCTGACCCACATCAAGAAAATGCCATTAGCGAAGCCAGCAAGGGTATCCATCTTGCCATATCCATAAGGGAACCTGGTGCTAGGGGGCCATTTGCTCATCACTGCAGCGCATAGACCCACCACAAGTGCTAAGCAGTCGAAGAACATGTGGATACTATCGCTCAGTAGACCCAAGGATCCGGTCATTATTCCATAAAATGTTTGAACGATCATGAAAACGAAGTTCAGACTACACTAATAGTCAGCAGCGGTACACTCAGAAGGAAGATTCCGGATCTGACTTACCACATAAAGTAGAATATCCGCCGAGAATCTTTTTCAGCAAGGATACTATGGAGCAACGGCCAATGGGGTATATGCCGAAACACAAACTCGGAGAATCTTGACATCTGGGCGTGCTCTGGAATGTTTAGCCTCGTTGGCTGATGGTGATGATGGTGGTCTGCACGTGATGGAACAGAAAACGCCTTAGGGGTATCAAATTTCGTAGCCGCGAAGGAAATGCCAATGAAAAAGCACTGATAAGCTAACGAGCTCCACGCCTCACTGCACAGCATGTTTAAGACGAAGGAGGATAGAAGTGACCCAAGAACAGGGCCAAATTTCTTGTTGCTTCGTAGGCTTCTTGGGTCTACCGTTGTCAAAGCAAGAGCCGTTGCGAATGTAGAAAGCAAGGTCCAGGCTAGCTGGTGTTCGGACGCAGTGCTAGCGCTTGGCCCAAAGAAGACGAAAAATATGGCACTCGATATTCCCAGTACAATACCACTATAGAAAGTTAGGTTGACGTCTTCCGGAGAACATATCATCGGCGACATTGTAAGCACTTTGGAAGACCTGTCTTCCAGTTGTGGGGGTATTTCCCATGGTGTCGCAAGGACTGCTGAAGTTTTTGATTCCGATGCAGGAGCGGTGGAGGTAACCACAGAGACCCTAGGCCTAGAGGACAGAAAACAAGGTGGCAGAACGAAGACAGTTATACCAAGAGTGATGTAGCCCAGGAGAATCTCAACAGCCGCCGAAGAATTGGTGAATCCTGTGAGATCTGATAGGAGCTGTAGGAGAATTGACGCCAGGGTCCACCGTCGTTGCGTCAGCAGCCTACTCCAGCCTTTCGCCCGTGTGAGATCTGTAGTTCCCTCATCAACCGTCATGATATTCGATGCCAGCGCTGTGAGCATGACCAAAGAGACACGAGCGCCTCCAAGCTTTGATGTGGCATAGAATGGCAACCCCACGGTCAGGAACCTTGCGGCAATCCTACGAGCCATATGAATCCACTGAGTCTTTTGCACCTCTTCCATCCCAGTCAGAGATTTCTTCCTCTTATCCAATCCCGTCGCTGACATTATTCCGAGCTTGCCTCTGAAACCAACAAGCACGAGCGTCAAGGATGTGAGAGTGCTTATCTCCAGCAAGACTGGGATCTTTGGGGCCTTGAAACTTGATAGAGGTAGGCCATCGAAAGAACCTCGCGGGGCGACGAGCGATGTGAAGGCTAGGGAGGCAAGGACATATGGTAGAGGCACGAGTATCGAATTGAGAAGCTCGCTGAGGGTCATCCATTTTGACCTACTAAGTGTCAGCCAAGTCCAGGCAAAGGCCATGCATGGCTGGGCAGGTATACCTTGTTGCAACTTCTTCATCTATTTTCGGGAACTGCTGGCTGCTGGGAGGAGGAAAACCATATCCATTTCTTTCTAGGCGCAAGTGTGTTGGGAGCCCTACACTCTTCCGTCTCTCCATGCTCTTAGATCTGGCGATTGTAGGAGTGGAGAAGGAGGTGGGCGTAGGAAGCTGCAAGCTGTTTGGCCGCTGTTGGTTCGATTTGTAGGATTGCTGATTCGAATCGTAGAAGACGTCTATTGACTTGTGTGGTTGATGTTGCATCTGAGGTTTGAGGAAGTTGGAGGAGATAGCTGCGCTGTTGGCGTGAAGTCCTCCGTTGGTCGATGTAGGCTGTAGAGGAAGTCTCTCCGTTGCAGACTTCCTGCCGTGCGAGTGGCCATGTCCATGCCCAGCATGGCTATTACTGGCGGGGAGGGCGTAGGTAGTTGCCATTGCAAAGCACCTTCCTTCGCGATATTCTCATTACTCTCTGGGTATCATTGCTAAATTTTATTGTGAAGAATAGGAAGCCACGGTCGAGGAACAAGCAGATTCTGCTAGGGTCCGAATGATGTCGCTGCTAGTGACATTGATGTTTGCAGGATCACAATGTGTGACCGTTTAGGGGAAGGTTCAATCTCATTTCAGGGGCAACAATGTCGGGAAGCTAGGAAAATTGTCGGCCCGCAAGCATTCACGATGAGTACTTTACCCTGAAGTCTAAATTAGAGCCAAAGGCTATTTGGAGACCCTGGAAAACCCCCCCGCCAAGGCCTACAAATCAGGCAATTAGGCAATCTACTATTCTGGAACAAGACCATGCAATGAACAGGGGCATTCATTTTTAAAATGCAGACGATTTTTGACCTCTGTTTCTGCTTCTGCTACTATTCTTCAGAAACTGCCCCTCATGTTCGACTTGGAAAGCTGGCTTCTAGGGCTGGTGATAATCCTCGCCATTTCTTCCCTCGTCTTATTCAATCTGCCAACCCAATACGGTGGAATCATAGGCAAGGATCGTAGTGCCAACAGGATCCAGATCCTAGTCCTGGGCGACATTGGCAGAAGTCCTCGAATGCAGTATCATGCATTGAGCATAGCCAAACATGGGGCACAGGTGGACCTCATTGGATATCGGGAGTCTGACCTACATCCTGATATACTTGCAAATTCCAATGCAATCAGAGTACATGCCCTTCATCCTGCTCCCGCTTGTCTCCAGACGAAAGACAGGCGACTCTTCCTGGTATATGGGCCGTTGAAAGTACTCTTTCAAATCTGGACATTATGGCTTGCTCTCGGATACAGGGCCAAACCCTCCAGATGGATGCTTGTTCAAAATCCTCCCTCGATACCCACTCTTATCGTCGCGTATGTCGTCTGCTTCCTTCGCCATACACGACTCGTAATCGATTGGCACAACTTCGGGTACTCCATCCTTGCCCTAAGACTTGGGAGCACGCATCCACTTGTCCAGATATCACGCCTGTACGAACAGCTGTTCGCTCGCTCTGCCGAAGCCCACTTCTGCGTGACTAATGCTATGGCACGAGTCCTAGAACGAGATTATGGCATCACAACGAAGATCTTACCTCTCCACGACCGTCCAGCATCCCACCTACAAGTCCTTACCGAAGCGCAGCGCTCGAGCTTCCTCGCCACCTTGCCGAATCTTCTCAGTCCAGGTGATGACCAAAGGCTACAAGACTACCAGCGCCTCGTCTCCGAAATCAAAATGAGCAAATCGCGCCTCATAGTCAGCTCAACATCCTGGACGCCTGACGAAGACTTTTCCGTCCTTCTCGAGGCACTCACCAATTACTCTGATTTGGCAATAACCACACATCCTCATCTCCCAGAGGTATTGGTCGTAGTAACGGGCAACGGCCCGCAAAAAGATGCCTTCCTAACCCGCATACAGAGCTTGAAAGCGGAAGAGAAACTCGAGATGGTGACCATCGAAACTGCTTTTCTTAGCACTTCCGATTATGCTGAGCTACTTGGATCAGCTGACCTGGGCGTGAGTTTGCACACGAGTAGCAGCGGTGTGGATTTACCGATGAAGGTGGTAGATATGTTTGGGACTGGGTTGCCAGTTGTGGGGTGGGGGGATTTCGAGGCGTGGCCAGAGCTCCTGCATGAAGGGGTGAATGGGAAGAGCTTCAGTGATGCAGAAGGCTTGCAGGAAGTGTTGATGGAACTGTTTGGTGGGGACGAGGAGTTGTTGAGGCGATTGAAAAAGGGCGCTGTTGAGGAGGGGAAATTGAGATGGGATGAGGAGTGGGACCGAGTTGCTGGGACACTCTTCTTCCCCACTTGACCAATTAATAAAGGCCCTCGACCTTCACTGCTGAGTCGAAACAGCGGTCGAGATGAATTCGCAGATTGTCTGTGATCCTCTTGGTGACTCATTTCCTTTCCCGCATGCGCCAAGCCTTCAGTTATGACTCAACATTCACGATATGGATCAGTCTAAGCGCCATATTATCATTCAAACGAGCTCGCATAGTCTAACGGTTAGGACGGTGTGAGTATCCACAAATTCAAGACAAGCTGGCGTATTTTAATGGCAGAATACTCCCTTGTGGCGGGATTGATCTCGGTTCGATTCCGAGCGCCAGCATTCTCCCCCTTTTTTTTTCATATTCCAAAACGAAGAGCTCTCGAGAATACAGATCTACTGGAGGCATAAACGAGAGGAGTAGGTTATAGAGAGCGATATATACATAAGCTACATCGAGTCATTCAAAGTCTACCCTTAGAACGTATGAAACGAAAACAGTACGCACATGCTCCCCTATCAAGTGAACACATCTCATACTGATCCCCACCCCTCCCAAACACACCTCCAACCCCCCTAACCCAATCCCCCATCCTCCGCCCCCTATACCTCAACCTGTGCGACAAAGTCTCATCATCCCCCCCACCACCAAGCACATCTTCAACTTCCAGAGGACCCGATTCGTCTGAATAGACGAGACGTAGTCGGGCCATCGGTGCATCGCTGACGAAGAGTTGAGATGTCAGCACTTCTTTTCGAGGCTGCTATCCTTGCAAAGTACTTCAGGCCTTACGGTGTCCACAGGGGATGCCGCTTGGGTCGACTACGGTTACACGGAGACAGAAATGGTCGTGCTTACAGGAAAGCTGTGGACTTTTCAAGAAGAAGCAGCATGTTTAAGCCATAAGCCTATGGCAAGATGGAAGATGTGGAGGAATACGGTCATTCATAGAAGCTTCCAGGAAAGGCAGAGTAGCGTTGATCGGTGGAGTAACACCATTGTAGCTCCTAATGTTCGCCACTCGTCCCGGTGCGGCCAGACCGTATTGTCCTTTTGTATCTTTTAAGGTAGAGTTGTGTGACCCCTCTATAACCCTTTGTAGGCGGTGCTGCTTGAAGATTTATATTCTTTCGGATTAAGATGGTATATGTTGATCTCAGTCCCGTGGGCAGAGCGGTCGTTGCTAAGAAAATGACCCTTTAAAGTCAAGCGGTATGGGGAAGGACGACAGAGTCTCGCAGGGTTATCGTAGTTTTGTATATATGCATGGCCGAAGCGAGCATCAGACAGTAGAAAAACCTTTGGTGCAATGTCGCTCAGGTATAGATTCGTTATGCTTCAGAGGAAGCCAAGATCTGGAGCTGGGGGATCTTGCATTTGTGCAAGCAGATTTCGAACCTCCAGAGGTACTCAAGGAGGACGGTTATGACTCACTTGCCTCTTCAGCCCGAATCTCCATACGACGATAAGCTGTGGAGAAATGGAGACAATTGCAGCAACGAGGCGTAATAGGACAACAATCACAGCCAGGAAATCTGTCTCGTCAAGATGTTTCTTCCCACCATAAATGTGTTCTGCAGGCTTTGCAGGACCAAGGTCAGAATCACAGGGTCGTTCAGTCATCGCGGTAACACAAAAGATAGGGCTCTATAAGTAGGTATTAATACCCTATAAGAGCCCCCCCTGCGGATTTGGGACACATCAGCTGAGCGGCTCATGGAATCATCACACATTAATGATCCTTCAACGGAGCTAGTCGCGGTTTCGTCTTCGTGGCGCTGAATTATCGCACTCAACGGCGTCCAAGTCAGGTGTACCTTCATCTCATCGATTGCTCAAGCAGAGGTCAAGGCGGAAAGCCGTTGACATTACAGCACTTTGGTGAGAAATTGCTCGAAGCTGCAAACGAGTTCGTGGGGTGAGCTGTATTCGCCCTAGATTGTAGTGGTGATGTTGGTGCTGAGCAGGGGTCACTTGGGCCACGCTATCCAGTCGCGATGAGAATATTGGGATAACCGCTCGGAACACCGCCACATGGCAACGGAGCGCCGTTGCAAATTTGCCAAACCTTTTTAGTTCAAGGCTGAGATCTTGTGGCGCAGAGCTTTGCATCAACGACTTGAACAGATCATTAAATTAATTATGCAAATGCAGCCGCTAGCCAGTACCTGCGTACCGTGACTCTGCCATTGTCGTCTGAAGGACGGGCGAAAGATCTGTCGGAAAGAGCCATGCGGCAAGCTTCTGTCTTGCTAAGAATTTTCCTTAAAAGCGGAACCGCATCTGTTAAGCGGCCTCTAACTTATCTGGGCCTGGCTATTCGGAGTTGGCCACGGGCTACAGGCATGAATTTGGCGCTGAACAAGGGCGGTTTCGTGGATGCTATATACCCAGCCGACGTGGTAGCTCTCTATACGTACTGGAGCGATTCATGGTTTTATGCTTAGCTCACCAAAGAGCATGGCAGGGTGCTGAGCGATGCCCGGCATTCATAGCTCCAACGAATCATGGCATACCACGTGTTGCTGGCTGATCCAGATACTTCTTACTACCATTAATTTTGGCGTCTTCACCTAGGCATTCACAGCTGGCCTGCAACCAATGTGATTGTTCGTCACTTTGACCAAGCCGTAGGGCGAGACTACTCGAGTCACAGCCCCCTTCCTAGCCATTGATACTTCCGTGCCCAACCTGATGGTCCCCATCCCAGACCGTAAAACTCCCAGTCCCAAACGTATTGTCATTGCTCGACATCCAACCAATCAACGCCTGTATCGTCGAATGCAGTACCCCATACGTGGTCTGGTAGTCATTTTCACTCCAAACGGTCATGCTGACCCCATTGCGGCCTAAGGGCCCATACCACCCTTCATTTGGTATCAGGCCGGTATTGCCGTTGTTGATGATCGTTTGGACGGCGTTGAGGCAGGCGCTGAGGAAGGATGAGACCGCAGCGTTAGCGGCGTTAAAGGATATGACGACGACAAAGGTATTGGTCTGAGCTTGACAATAGGTTGTACCGTCGTCATTCTTGCGTGTCTGGAGAATGTGAGGAGATTTATTGAGAGGTTCAAATTGTTTTCGACGCTTCATACGGGTTTGGGAGGCTCCCCTGATTGACGGAAGGTTAGCCTTTCAATGCATTTGAGGGAAGGATTGAATTGGCAATGATGGGAGGGTGGGTTGACTCACGACCCAGCGCGGACTCCTGGCAGATTGTCGCAAAAGAGGTGATGACCAAGATTGGGGCAGGCGATCCCCCATGAGTCCCATGAATTGACGCACCCACTGATGTCGCTGTTGTCTGGGATCGGAGAGGCCAGGACTAGAGCTGTCAGAGATGCAACTGTAGCCAATCTCGTAATCATGGCAGCGCACATATCGTAGATATCTCTGTGGTAAGTACAGAGGGTTTCTGCTTCCGATAATAGTACGTCTTTTGACCTAAACCTGAAGGTCCATTCTTGGGGGCACAGCGCGCCCATATCGCTTTCGAGAACCCCTTCACATCGCCAACGGCACGGAGCGCCCGAATCAGCAGGTCTCAGGCGCAAACATGGATAGCTAGAATCATGTATCTCTCACTCTAATGGCGCGAGAAGTACTGCAAGACGCAGGGCAAGACTAGTAGCAATTGCTAGACGAATCTTAGATGCTAGCGCAGATTGTTCATGCATCTGCCACAGGCTAGACATTGAGTTCCCTTGCGGCACGCATGACAGGACGGCACGGGTAAATGCATAGTCACCATTTGGTGTTAGAAGAACTCATTGAAGAAGCTCAGGGACTGGCGCGGTTACTTGGCAATATTCGCGCCGTAAGCGACGTGGCGGAGCTAGCTTTGAATGAGACACGGAAATCCCGAAAAAGCTCCAGTGCTTGCAGCGGCGCTTCAATGACAACCGGAACTGGAATCTCGCTGTCCATTGGTTACTTTGATCAAGCGAGGTGAGCTGCAACAAAACTTCTGAGTGATCGTCAAAGCTTGAGGAGGTGCTATGTGCACGCTCTGTAATCTCAAGGAAAGAAGGTTTTGACGAATTGACGACTTGGTAACCGGATAGCCTGCCAAATATGTTCGTAGAGGCCGAAGAATTCGTGGGATTCACATCATCTTGAGTTCCAGCAAGCTGGAAAACTTGAATCATTCTATGACACGGGTCCAGGGAGGACTCAACACTTGAGGGTACAGCGCCCATCAAACAGCGGCCTACGAGGGTCATAGCTCGTAAAGGGAGCCAAAACTGTTCTCCAACTATGCAGTTCCTTTACTTAAAGTCAAAGCTCACATGCCTCTGAAACCTAGTACTCTAGAGAATTTACCACCATGCTTCCCCTAGCCCACATCCCCGTGCGGCCTTCATCGCAAGACTGCCTAGCCTGGTCTCCAGATGGTGAGCTCGCAGTTGCCGCCGGCGAGGAAGTTTACCTTCTCATTCCCCAAAATGGGAGTTCCGAACCTTGGACACATTTGCGCATCACTGTCAGCAACTTCACCAGTAAAGAATGGCCTTGGCAAGAGCAGGCCAGCTTCAAAGATATGTCCATTGGCGAGGAGCAAGCCAGAGCCACCGTCACCGCTCTCGCATGGTCGCCTCCCGGTCTAGCAAAACACAGACGCTCCGTCCTTGCAGTCCTGACTTCGAACTTGATCTTATCCTTCTGGGCCTCTGACTCCAATCCTACTGATCTAGACAGCTGGAAGAGGGTTTCGGTCATCAATAAAGCTCTTTTCTCGGGGAATCGTCTCCAGCAAAGGATCCGCAGCATGGCATGGGCTCCGACGAATCCTCAGCACGTTGACCGCCGGACACCTCTTTCACAGAACAAGTGGGGAATACCTCTTATTGCTATCGCAGACGACAGCAACGGCCTCTACATCCTCATGGTCTCAAGCCCTTTCACAGGACAGTCCCACGCATGGACCGTTGAAGTACTCCACCGCCACAATACTCCAATGTCCAATTCATCGAATGAGCGGCCATCTCTGTTCAGCTTTGCCATGAACACGAATCACTTCATTGACCGCATTGAATTTGGCACGTGGGATGGCGATATCCCTGTCGTGTACCGCACTTCTGGGATCCTTCACCATGCAAGCGTATCTGTCTACCAGGACCCTCATTCTCGCGTACGACCTGATGACGTTACGGACCATGAATCTCTCACTGTGAGCCTAAGCGAAGCTCGTACCGGAGGTGCCAAAACGTTCTCGCAAGCTATAGTCACACCTCTCATCAAAGCTCGAATGGCAACAGAAAAGGAGAAATTTGGGCTAGACAATAATATCGGTAGCCATGTAATGGTGAGGACATGGGGTTTGGCTTCATTCAATAATCTGGTTGCGGCTTGCATTACTCTTCATCCAGCAAAGATGGTCGAGTATACCGCGCCGTTCGAAGGAACTTCTACAATTCTATTCGACGCCGGCAACGATAACGGCAACGCAAAGAGCGTGTTTGCTTGGCAAAGCCTTACCGCAGTAGACGTAGTAAAGACGCAACAATCCGTCCTGGACACAAATTTTGACCAAATTCTGCAGAGACCTCTAGCTTTGAATAACATCGATCTCAGAATTGTGTACACTGCACTTTGTGGTAGTTTGCTATTAAGCGACGACAAACGACTTCAGCGACTTCAAGCCGCAGTGGATGTCTTGGATCTAATTGAATCCCGTGCGACCATCGTTCTACTGGCAGAACGCCGCGCTCTCTTGGCCATGGAGAATGCACATCAGCTCCCTGACCAGGAGCTCAAAAATATTATCAGGCAGATGACCAAAGAGAGAGGAGAAGCCGAGTCAAGCTCACGCGCTCCAGAGAAAGCCCTCCTTGATCTCTGCCCCTTCTGTCCAGATGGCCAACGGACCATACCCTTCGATAGCTTCACAAAGGCATATTGCCTACAAAAACATCATTTTGGTAGGCTTGTTCCCCTCCTCTTTTACTTAAATATACCTTACAAGACATGCAGCAAGGTGCGCTCTTACACTTCTACCGCTGCTTGAGCCAGAAATTACCAAGCGTTGTATCAACTGCAAACGTGAATTCTTCGATGAACGGTCTCATCCTGAAATACATATGGAATCATCCCAACGGCTGAGTCATATCAACCTTAGCGACAGCAATGCCGGATACATCGGCGCTGCGCAAGAAAATAGTGGAAATGTCAAGCAGTCTCTCGCCTCTGTGCTTTTTGACAAGTTCGATACTTGCCCTTACTGCGGTGGCAAATTCTGCGGTTGAGTAGTGATTGTAGGGATCTCAAATCCCATTTCAAATGCAGCGCAGCCGACATGCCGTCATGACGGCTTTCTCATATAGGAAATGGTCAAATGCAACCTCCAGAACTTTTAGTGTGGGACATTTCAGGGGTAGCCTTCCGATCAGCATTCCACGCTTAGGTGTTTGTTTGTCTCACTTTTGTTTGTTCCAATTTTGACTTACCCAAAGCGTCAAACTCATTTCCACCAGAGCAACGCAGTACCTGACTTTCACGGCGCTGCTGTCTTTGTTCATCGAGTAATCTCTTCATGCCATTATAACTACTCCATTGAAGCTTGCGCCCACAAGTCTGCGACGCTGACGACATGGCCGGACTCGGCTACGTGCAGACGCATCCGGGGTACATACAAGGAACAGCCAAGGATCCGAAGATTGCTTTGTCCGCTGTCATGACCAACCTCAAATCTTGTAATGCATCCTCACTTTGCTGGTCAACCTCTGTGCGCTCTTCAGAGCACCGGTTACTCCAACTGCAATGGCAATGGAGCCGGGAGAGGACAACACCCCTGGCGAACACTACCGGCCCCTTGCCTCCCCGAAAGCTCCCATCACAGACGATCAGAACCGACCGGTTTCGATTCTCTCGTTGTCTGCCCATTCTGCTAAAGTGGTCGCCGCTCCGCCCAGCCCAACAAGAAGCGTCAATACCGAGATTTACGAGGACAATGCCAATCGTACCATCGATCGCTTTGACGAACCATCCTCGGAAGAAGAAGAAAATCATCAAAAGCTTGATCGCTTCGGAACAAAATCTCTTCGTTCCAAGCGTTCCAAAAAGGAACGGTCTGCGCAAAGCCCAAGCGATGGATTCCGCCAATCCTCTGGTTTGAGCATCAGTCAGCCCATCGCCGTAGCCTCAAGCACCGGTTTTGCAATTTCGACGCCAGAGTTAGGATCAACAATGGGCGTACGACCGCATCACAACCCGTATCCAAGTGACGTCAGCATCCAAAGCAGCGGCGAAAGCCACCGCTTCTCAACACTAGAAGTTGACGACAGTGTCTCCCGAAGGGGTACGTGGATTGGGATGAGAAACGTTGGACAGGCTATATCCACGGATTTGCCAAGTCCAGCTGAACAAACTACTGAAAGCGACCGCCACCCAAGCATCTCGCCACTTCCGAGTAGAGAATCAACCATCCGGCGCTCCTTTGGTCGGAGCCTGCTAACAAGACCGCCTGTTCGGAGCACAAATCCTACATCTGAGGAGTCGAATTCTCCCCGAGAGGTCGGTGGATTTCGCCTACCTTTTTTACATGGCATGCCGAAATCCCTGAGGCCAAGCGGGTATGATAAAAGCTCCCTAACCCCTAGCGAGGAGAAAGAGGTCAAGGACGCAGTACAGCCGCCGGGATCCTTCTTCTACGATGGATCGAGCGATGGTGAGCCTGACGAAGAAGATTCGCATATCGACGATGCTCAGCAAGCAATTGTTGGGACACCAGTGATGGTCAAGCACGGCTCGAGAAAAAAGGTCGGATTGAAAGAGATGCTACATACTGCGCCGCTCGCACGGAATAATCCAGGGCCGTCGAGAGGGAAGGCGATGATAATGATTGGGGAGAGTTTGGAACTCGATAGGAAGCCAATATCGAGAGATGGTGCTTTCCCAATTAGGACACCGAGCAAGAGGGAAGGGGTCATAGGAATGCCACAACAGGAGCAAGAAGACATAACGAGTCAACACCAGGAAGATCAAGCGGGATTGGGCATTTTCCGCACCATGAACCCTTTTGCACATGACGTGCTTAGATCGAATCCCGTCAGCCCAAAACATGATCCGGCTGCGGCGTCACCGCAGCCAAAGAAAAGTGTCTCTTTCCCACCGCTGCCTCTACAATTAGACATCAGGCCTGAACACAGGTTTTTGAGGCAAGACGTCGTCAGCACACCATATCCTCCAGGTTTCAAGGGAGGAGGAGCGTCACTATACAATGCTTCTGAGCATGGTACGATGCCGACAGCTGACGAAGCGCCGAAATCACTTCTTACACTGGTCCTGTACAGCCACGGCGATTCCATCTCAAAAGTCAAGAAGATTGTCATCCCAACAACTCCAGAAATAGCACTAGTTGACAACGGCGATGAGAAAAAGCCGCCCATCAAAGCCACAATGCGCCGGGACTTTGACGACGAGAAGTTGTTCAAGCTCATCCGCTCGGAGTATAATAGCATGCGAGGCTCTCTCCGCCGACTGGCCAGTGCGAGGACAGTGCGGAGCATGAACCTTCTGGCGTACTGCTCCACGTCCGAACTCGTGTCCAAACAAGGGAAGCCAATGCATTTTCGACATCAAGACAGTGACGAGCATCTAGCCGAAGCGCGCATGCTGGAAATATTCAAGAAGCCCAAGTTGGGCAAGCGACATCACGAGTGGGCCGAATGGGTAACTACCCTCCCCGAAAACTCCAACATCGAGCCCGTGAACAACGAGCGCATCGCACTAGAGCTTGTGGAAGGCTGGTCGTCGCGCAAATTCCTCGCCGCTGTCGTTGCTGTGCTCGTCTGTAGCTTGACGATTACTCTACTCTGGACCTTTCTGGGAGCTGGAGGAGACACTCTGGGGTTTGAGAGTTCGAATGTCACCCTTCCAGGAGGGTTAATGGGGAATAATGCGGCAACTGTTCAGAGTCCGGTTGGATACAAGGGAGCCGGGGGCAGGGTGGAGACTGGTGTTGCGTTGGGAATACTGGTGTTGATGTTTGGCTGGACCAGCATCGGGGCGTGGATTCTGTTGAATTGGCTTGTGATGTGATGGTCAGCTTGGCTTCTATTGTGGTCGCTTTCTTCATCATGCTTTATCTTAGTCCGACATTACCGCTATCATGTGATAAGAAAGAGGCCAAATCCCACGATCAACACCATTTATGAGGGTACCAGACCGTGCGAGCGGTTCTTGTGTGGGGAATAACCCCGTATATCTAAGTTTATTCAAGCTTCAAGGAGCAGATCATCGACGCTATTCTACGGCCGAGTCGAGCAAGAGACTTACGTGCGTAGACGTTTCCGGGAAATCCCCACCGATGCCACCGAAAGGGCTGTCTTTAGCTACTGTGCAGGCGAAATTAGCTCGCGAATTCGCTTTCCCGGCTGATACTTTGAGAAAGCAGCTTGCCTCAAAGCAAAGCACGTCGTATGATGAGTTGCTGGTTAGCAGGCCAGGAGCTTGGGGTTCTGAGGAGGAGGGAGGAACAAGATTCACAAGTAAACAGCGATCACTGCGTTCTTGATCAATCTTGATCCGAGTGAAAAACTCAAGATTTTGTAAGAGGTGAGACCCAGAAAATAGATCGACGGACTGAGGGGAGCCGTCACGTAACTTCTGCAGCATGGTTGGACGCGTCTCTTATAAGACAAAGTATCTCAATAACCTCAAAACTGGCCAAGGATTCATGTTGGGGATGACCATTTCAGCGGTCATATGCACTGAGACAAAGAATTCTTGTACCTGAGCTCTACTGCATCACACCTTGGTTTTCTGTCACTACTGGCCTCCAGTATTCTTTATCGGAAAGTTTTTCACCGGCTCCCTCATGGAATGATATTAGCGGATTGACGGAGTGTGCTGACCATCGAACCCCTGAAGCCTCTTAGCTGATATTTCGACGAGAGACTTAAGAGAAAAGCTTGCGAGTTTATGCAAGCGCTTTCTAGAGCCCTGTAATTACCAGTATGAACTTTGTTCGAGACGAGCTACAGAGTGACAGCGTCTTGGACGTGGCGAGGAAAGTTGGTCAAACCGGCATCAAGACCACAACTCAAAGCGCAGCGTCTGGAGCCAGCGGGCTTCGGAATAATAAGGACTCAACATGTCGCGCAAGAATAATCCCCAATCATCGTCCCATCTTCCAACGGCATAGAGAGCGGTCCCATATTCCCAGTAACTTGGATACCAGCCTGCCTTCTCCCAGTCGATAATAGTCACCTTGAATTCTTCTTCAACAGGGCGCTTCGCAGTCCAAAGGCCATCTCTTGGTGGAGCATCCCGAATTCCGTTGGGTTGGTGCTGACAGTCATTCCACAAGCCGACTTTTGGAGGGACAACTTGAACAATGATATTTTTGCGCTGAAAGTCGGCGTGTGTGAGTGTTGGCGCGTGTCCACAAAGTACATGAGGCAGAGCCTGGCGGTAGAAATCGGCAACATAATTTGTTCGGCCATAAACCTCAAATGTGTACTTTTGCGCCATAGCTTCATTAACGGCATCTTCGTTTTCGAATGGCCCATTTATAGAGGATTTTTTTTGGCTGGTCCAGAAGATATCATCAAGCAATGGACGCTTGCCAAGGCTTCCAAAGTAGCCCGGAGATGGAAGCTGCCGTAACTCATCAAAGCATAATTTGAGCTTCGTAGCAATAGCCTTCTTCTGTGATTCGGTAAGAGAAGGCCATTTGTAAGCTAGCGTGTGACCCTCGATGTTCTCCATGACGATATAGTTCTTCTTTGTGTCTGTTTCCGTGTAGAGAGCGTAGACCTTGGGAATTGGTATAGTGGTAGTGCTACGGACAAAGAGCATGTTCTCTCCTTCGAGGATGGTAACACCAAGGCCATATTTTACCACGAAATGCGTGCCAACTCTGACAACTCGCCGGCCTCCAGTAACGGCGATCACATCCTTTGATGCTTCGATTTCTGCATTCGTGGGCAGGGCGCTTGGGACATCGGCTGCTATGAATGGCAGCGCAATGGATAGTTCCATGGAACTCAACAAGCTCTGAGCATGAACACACTCTGAATGCGGCCGGATAACATTTGGTGGAGCTCTTGCAGACTTGATGAAAGAAAAAGTCGCGGTCGCGTCTTTCTAGCGGGATCTCGGATAAACCTCGGTGAACAAAGACAGGCACTTGGCAGAGAGGCACACCAAGATCCTTGAATACGGGCCAACGAGGCAACCAAGATCCTTGAATAAGGGCCAACGAGGCACACCAAGATCCTTGAATACGAGTAAGGGCTGGAGCATGAGGCAAAGCCAGCCGGCAAGAAAGTTGGGGAAGGCAGAAGCAAAACATCTCTCTTACAGACATCAGCCCCGACACGTAAGCAAAAGAGGAGATTGAACCATGGCAGATTCACGCCAACCCGATTTGAGCTCGCTGTCTTATCAAATCGGAGAAACTGTATGCGCAATGAAATGGTCGTGCATCTATACGAGTACGTTGAGCGCTCTCGCGATTTCTTCTGACTACTGAAGGATTCTCCGCCATCCTGAGTTGACCGTGGAGATTGGTGCGCTATCCCATCGTCTGGCAGGGGGTAAAATTCAGGGGTTCCGACCGAACATCAAAAAGTCCCGTCTTGCAACTCACCATAACTCAATAACGAGGACCCCCATAGAAAAGTTTATAGTTTCGCATTTATTTTTCTTAAGCAGATCTTGAACTTCGCGACTGAAGGTTTTAAAAGGTTTTTTTTTTAAATTTTTTACTAAATATGGTTTTTTTAATATGTCTGTGTCTAAAAAAAACTCTACTGTACAAGGTTGTCATTAGAAAAAAATAAGGTACTGTAGTTACCGAAGAAAGGTTGTCATTAGAAAGTTATTGGGCTGCGAAAGTATGGTATTTTAATGTTCTGCCAAGACATTTTACCTCCAAGGCGCCAGACGATGGGATAGATCAGCCGGATCTTAGCTCTTTGGTCAGGTCCGTTGACATGCTGTCGTTATTCATGATCAGATTGTGGTCGGTTAATCGTTGCGTTCACGGCGTTCTCATTGAGAACACGATAGAATGAAACTGGGAGGTTGCGAGATGAATTTAGGAAAATCATCATTTCCGACGTAGTCATGTGATCTCCAACGACATCATAATGTGACAGTCTATCAATACTCTTTCTTAACGACCTCGAGTTCAAAGCATACGCTCAACACCCGTCATCACACCACCGAGTAAATCAATTGATGATATCGAAAGGTGTACCTTGTCCGTCACATATTACGCCTGGCCGGACCGATAGGTATCGAGCGCTTCCGATCTTCTGGCGTTCTCTCAGCAGGCAATCTCCCTCTCTTGACCTCCTCTGTGTTAATTACAATAGTCTATTCAAGCTTTCGTGCGGAGCGGAAAAGAGTAGGTTGCCGAAAGATTGTTTCAATGTTCTTTGGGTCTGAAAAGTTTCCCTCAAGATTTTAAAAAGCCTTGTGGCTGAGGCCACCCAAGGTGGACCACCTGCATAGGATCATGCGCTCCCGCGTTCACCGCGCAAATGGGAAAAGAGAGTCATTGACTGACGGTGAGCCTGCTTCCTCTAGAGGTGTTACAGAGGATTCTTAGATCAAGAATGCGTTTCACACCAAGGCATTGTCCTTTTAGCTGCTACCCTCATTAGAAGTCAGCCCTGTATGACCATGGTCAGGTTATGGTCACTCGGGACTTTCGCAAACGAGCTTGTGCTGTCGTTCGTGTCCACAAAGTCATGAAACCCATAAATTAGGACGCGAAATACTCGTCCATGGCAAGGAATAACTCAGGAGGCGGCAATCTACGCGGAGATGCTGGCAGAAGAGAAGCAGGGTCACTGCTGTCTTGATGAAATAGACAGTCGAAGATTCGGCCAAGGTTAGGTCTTAAAGATTATACGCAAAAGCTATTTCCGATCGTTTGCTTTGACCATCCAGCTTCCATTTCTGGGAGCTCCGAGAGCTGGGCTCTCTGACTTCATTCGTTTCACGGTCCTCATTGTCTGAGGCGCGAGGACGCTTTGTCGCAGATGGTTGATTCGAGGACGAAGTCACAAATGGTTCTTTCTCGTCTTTGTCGGAGTCATCTGTGTCACCAGAATCAAGTACGCTCTCATATTCGACCATCGGATTATGACCTCGGACGTTCTCTGCTCTGTTTACTTTCTGGTACTCCCTGTCTAGATCGTGTTGCTATCTATCTTCACCTTGATCTTATAACCACATTTTAGCCCCGTGAATGTTCGATCAGCGTCTTCGTCTGACGTTTCTTCAGTCTCACCCAAGCGAACTCATTTCCCTATAGCACCAGATGTAGCCGCCATAAGAACATGGAAATTTGCTGCATTCCCCGAAATTCCTGCTGGTCTGAGCTTCTCTTGTCTTCTCAATCTCTCTTTGTGAAGCTCTTGTGCTCACATCGCTGTAAAAGAAGAAGAAATAAGCAAAGAGAAAATCCGCGGCACACGGATGAGACGTAGACATCCTTTCCCGCCTGAGTAGGCTTGCTCAAGCCGAGATTGGCCTTTATCACAAGCTTGAAGCGCACATATGCACTATCCATCGGATTCTTCGCAATGCCCTCTATGATCCTACAGTACCGAAGTCCTATGGGTTTTCGAACTTGGTCAATCGAAGTGAAATTCATATAACTTTTGCTCAAGTCTCTCCAGGGGACAAATCACATCGCGATGGAACGCAGCTTGCAACTCAGGGTTCTTCAGGTCCGTTCCGCATCCAAAATCACATTCCACCAATCTTTCGACAATCTTGTGAAAACTACTGCCCATATCAGTTTTCGCAGACTTCGCCAGCCTTCTGGCTGCAAAAAATTCGGTATACTGGTTCTCTCGGCCGTTGTCGAGGTCCGCGAGGCTTTGCAGGCTTTCCAGTGTGGAAGTGTAGGCGATCTCAAGAAGTACAACGCCAAGGCTGAAGAGCAGTGGATTGCGAGCCAGATTATGGGGTTGAAGCATTGAAGCACGGGAAAGCTGTCCACAGGGTCCTTTGACTTTAACGTTCAGATGAGGCGATGTAAGACTTGGCATGTCCTGTACCGAAGCCAACTCATTGCCGAAGAAGTACACATCCTCGCTCCGCCACGACATCCTAAGCCAGGGTGTTGAATGGTACTGAAGGACTGCAATGGCCAGGGTTTTGGCGAGGTGTAGGCGCTCGTAAAGGGAAATTCCACCAACATTCTTTCGCTTTGACACATTCAATATGATCTGTCCAAGTGAAACAGCCTGCCGCGTCTGACGGCAACGTTTGTTTGACGATGGGTAGACGGAATTTCTGCACTTGTCTGTATCGTCTAGCACACCTACACACTCGCTCGCATGAAGTGGTTCTCGAAGACGCCTGCGAATGAAATCGCAAAAGTCTTTGCGCATACTATCACCGGATAGAATGGCGTTGGCTATTGCAGCAGTGGACAAGGTTGGTGGCATACATGCTGGCGCTAATGCCGCTGGCTGGAATCTCACGCTCTTCTTGGCCTTTTTCTGTGTAGCGCCTGATGCAGGTTCAATCTGTCGTTTTAGGGACTGACTGAGGCCATCGTGGTAAATACTGGTAGTATGAGAACTACTAAGCTCCATAGCGTCACCGCTTGTCGAGTCCACAACGAACCATATCAGATCGCTTTGGTCAGCCGAGCCGGCCAGGGTCAAATGTGTGTATGCCATTCTGAACTTTACTTGGGCACTATGATCTCCTGTGATGTTTGCTTGCTCGACTTCGACACAGAAATGAGCCTGATGCTCTGTATGTTTCGTACAGGCTCGGCCGAGAGCTTCGTAGACCTGGCGAGAAGCTTGCCCTATAATCTGATATCTTTCCACCTCTTGGCATGGCTTTACAGGAGGGGCTGCTTGTCTTTGTGACTGCAGAGAGGTTGATTTCAATGTCTGTGTCGATAGAGTTCGGAAGTCATCGTTCAATGAACGAAGATCACAAAGGGTTTGGTCTAGTCGCGGCTTTGAAAAGCTGAAGCGGAGCTTCTTAGCTATACGCCGCCTCCAGGGTTTGCTTCCGACGATGTCTGCTGTATCCTGTCGAAGCCTTTTGTCAGCACGTTTGCCAGAAGCATGGGACCATGATAGCATACCCTAGAATCCTGATCAATGGTAGTCTCGAGGTCTTGACTCTCGCCCTCAATGTCTCGAAGTCGCTCCTCAATCATCTCAACTGTCGTAATGCACGCATCTCTGGAGTTACCAAGCAGGTGAGAAAGCTGCTTCTCCAACTCAACCTCTGACCATGAAGGGTGGTTTGCGCCTGAGGGGCCATTGAGCATGCTGGACGCGACATCATGCTCAACAATCTCTTCAAGCAGGATACGGCATTGGTTCCTGAAGATGGTCTTCTGGATACCCAGCAAATTGCGGAATCGGTCTGCTTCTTTCGCAAAGTTTTTATAGCGTATGAAGGGGCGCAAGCAGTCGTCGTAGTGTTCAGCAGCAGATGTCAGGAGCGGAAGAACCCCGAGCGCCAAGCCCGCTACAGTCTCGACTCCAGACATTGAGGCTCCTCAAGTTCTACAAGCAGAAACCATCCTCGACTACATTGAAGGGGAAACGATCAGAAATGATCGTGCTAGTGACAGTCGAGGATAGAGTCTGCTGCTTCTGCACTAGAGTACAACGACAAGCTTCTAAAGCACAGCCCGATATGTTCATCCGCCTGGCCTATCACGGTCAAGAAGGCAACGAGGCTGTCATGCAGGGCGCAATAGCTGCAAGGCTGAGCGCGGGACCAATGCGCTCTTTGCTGGTCTTTCTTGCTTAATGTTGGAGGCTATGGGCTAGGCATCTGTACCCTCTTCTCTTCTTGCAGTTCATGCCGCAAGATATGCAGGATGGTATATACAAGAAGGGGGGCGACGGATGTAATGACTACATGCTACAGTGGCTCCATGCGGACGTCTCTGGCCCTATAGCAGACAATCGAATTCCTGCTGGTGGCGAAGACAGCCAGGGCTTTGCCGCTCCCCTCTATCACCTTTGTCTCCGCGCACTGCAAGATTTCTATCGTCAAGAACGCAATAAACGCAGCTCTAGATCGCGCTCAATTGTCCTGAGAGAGTGTCTCGGGAGGCTTTATCTGTGGGGCGAACCCTTTGGCGTTGGGGAGCTTGACAGAGCACTGGAACAGTCTGATGAGTTGAGAAATGATGTAGTAGAGCGCCTCGTTCATATTGGGAAGCTTCTTCTGCACGGTAAGCCTTCAGTCGTCGAATGAGACTTTGCTAACATCTCTGAAAAGAACTGGCAAAGTCGGTTCCTCTTTCGAAAGCCCCACATCAGCCGTCGAAGCAAGTTGAAGAACTTGAGTCTGCCATCAAGCAAGGAAAGCTCATAATATCTGGAGACCAGCACGAGATACCGCAGAATGGTCATGATAGCGATGAGGAATATGGTCCTGGAAGAGAAGGCTCGTCGGACAGCGGCAGCTACGATATATTTGAAGACCTTGACTTTACCACTACGTGCATTATGGAGCTTGGACCAAGTCTGGAGCAGAATCTTAAACAAGCTGAAAATGCTCGAGTCCAGCATTCATACCCCACAATTGTACCTTTCTCTGTTTCTGGCCCTGCCACGATATATGTGTCATTAATTCGAGAGAAGTTCAAAAAGGCACACTACAAGTTGGTTGAACGACTAGGAGAAGCCAATTGGCAGAGGCACAAAGATGTTCGGGAGAAGATGGAGAACACGGAACACTCCCTTGAGGGAACAAAGAATCTTGCTCGTGAAACAGGTACTGCATCGTCCATTTTTCGACCATATTCAGATTTCCACGATTCTGGAATTGGCACAACTATTCCAGCGCAAACCGAGTATGCTCCATCCCATACCTCCTTTCAATCGAGCAACAGCGAAGGAGAACGAAACTCGCCTCGAGTACCTAGAGAACCCCCTGAAGTCGGTGCCAGAAAACGATTCCAATGTTTTTTGTGCAGACGCATTATTTCAAACGTCAAAAATCGGGTGGACTGGAAGTAGGTCCCAGCAATCTGTTCCTGTCGTTAAGGAATCTAAAACTAATGCAGTCCTAGGATGCACGTTTTTGCCGACCTACAACCATACATTTGCACGTTCTCAGACTGTGGTGACGAGCTAGCCCAGTTCGCTACCCGGGTAGCGTGGGCCGATCATGAATTTACTGAGCATCGCAATGACCGGGCGTGGAAGTGTCTGGAGTGTTCGAAGAGATTTACCAGTGCCTCAGACTGGGAGCAACACCTTCAGGAATTTCATCGACGTGTATTTAGCGGGCTTCAGCTCCATGTAGCCAAGAACACGGCGTACCAGATACAGCCGAGACCAATCGCGACTGAAGAATGTCCCCTGTGTCGTATCATTGTTGGGAAGTCCCGCCGAGCATTTGTTAAACACGTTGGACGACACATGGAAGAGATCGCGTTAATGGCCCTGCCCCGGAATACGGAAGAAGACTCGAGTGACGGCTCTATCAGTACAGATCAGATCTCTGTCGGATTAGAAAAATATGAGATGCTGGCTGCCGAGACAGGCCTTGAAGCGCGTGAGGACATGAGCAGTCATCAGACTGAATACGGTGCGACTAGTCTTACCACCAATCAACCAGGAGTAGCTGATCAAGAATTAGAAGCTGCTAGACTCAACCGTGAGTGGGATCATTCCCAAAAGGACGATATCGAGGATGAGGACGAAGAGGTGACAAGATGCATTTGCGGCAATCAAGAGTACCCAGGACTGCCTGTATCCTCTGGCGAACCTAGCAAAGGAGGCGCCAAAGTTTATTCAGATCCTGCGGCTTTTCGAGAAGATGCCACTGGATGGTACATTCAATGCGATAGCTGCAATGTTTGGCAACACGGAGGCTGCGTCGGCATAATGGATGAATCCACATGCCCAGAAGAATACACCTGTGAGCAGTGCTGCCCAGGCTTGCACGATATTAAGACGACAGTCAAAGGGTACGTACCCCTCGGGGGTCTCGTTGAACCATGCTAATAAGACGAGTGGTAGGCGGAAATACTCTCTTTATCTTCCTGTCCATCAGTCGCAGAAAATGGCCTCGAAGCAAAAGTCAACTCCTGTTTTTGTGCTTGGAAGCAAAACGTCAGTTGACTCAGTTGACTTGGCCCACAACGATACCACCAGCGCACCGTTGAACCGAGATGGAAATGATGAGACACCACTCGCAAGAGCATGTAAATTCGGCAGCATAGAAGAAGCTGAGAAATGTTTAAAAGAATGTCCGACGAATATCAATGTACCTGACTATGCAGGTAATACGCCACTACAGACCGCTGCCCTCGAGGGTAGGACCGAGATTGTCCAGCTTCTGTTGACTGCTGGATGCGACATCAGTTGCGAGAACATGATCAAGGACACTCCACTCGTTGATGCCGTTGAGAATGGTCACCTGGAGGTAGCAAAGATGCTGCTGAGGGCAGGATGTAATCCAAAGCAGACTGACTCGCGTGGAAAGACGATATTAGGCCTAATTAATACGAGTCACGATAACGCGGACAAGATGCGAGAAGCACTTGAGGCAAGTCTCGCCCATTTCGGACCTGACGTCGAAAATGAAGTCGGAGGCTACATCATAAAATGCATCTGCGGCTTTCCAGAGGATGATGGGAACACCGTGTACTGCGACCCGTGTGACACTTGGCAGCATACCCAATGTTACTATACAGACAAGCACGGTAATGTGCCCACAAAAGAGGAACTCGAAGATTTCGATCACTTTTGCGCAGATTGCCGACCAAGATCGCTCAATGCAAAATGGGCCACCGAGCGACAGTGGGCCCGGCGAAAAGAGAATATGCGAGTGCCACATTGACACCACGTCGTCCTGTCTATGGGAACTCCATCTTCTCGGATGGCCAAAGCGTTTACCGCACTGGTGATGCCAATGATAATATTGCAGACTTTCCGTTCGAGCCAGGGACAGCCAAGGGCTCTGGGGTGGCTCAACCTGCATCTGGTGGGCAGGATGAGGATGGAAACCCTGACAATGTTTCCGAAACAAAATCGTTGTTTTACCTGTGACGAATTTTCATCTTTTCAAAGTATTTCGTCCTTCCTATTGTGAATTGATATTCACTCTATACATGACTTTTGCTACATTCTCTTACTTGTATATACGAGGCGTACACATCCATACATCATGGCTTTTCCATTTCTGTCCCGACAAGCTCTATGACGTTTTCTTTCTCTGTTGTCTATGCCTCAGACTTTCCCAATTCTCTGCACAACCATCGCCGTTGCCGCCCCGCCCCCATTGCAGATAGCAGCGACTCCATACTCCCCCACCTCCAACTGATGCAACAGCGTCGTCAATATCCTACTCCCCGAGCTCCCTAGCGCATGACCCAGACTTATCGCACCACCAAGCATATTTACATTCCCACCATCCAAGCCCAGAATCTTCTGGTTCGCTTTGATAACGGCCGCAAACGCTTCGTTGAATTCCCACACCGAAACTTGATCTTTCGAGATTCCCGCTCTTTCCAGCGCGATCGGTACAGCTTTAGCGGGCGCGACGGGAAAATCCACCGGATCGACTGCTGCGTCGGCGGAAGAAACGATGCGGGCGAGGACACGGCTGCCGGAGCCATATTCAGCTGCAACGTCTTTGCTGCCCAAGACTAGCGCTGAGGCACCGTCGTTGAAAGTTGACGAGTTCGCTGCCGTGACTGTTCCGCCATCCTTCACAAACGCAGGCTTGAGTGTGGGCACCTTCTCTTCCCTCAGGTTATCGTAGCCCTCGTCTTTTTCAATGACCGTCTCCCCTTTCTTCCCTTTTATCGTCACAGGCGCAATCTCATCAGCAAACTTACCGTCCTTCCACGCTTTCTGTGCACGGTGGAAACTTTGAATCGCATACTCATCCTGCTCTTGTCTAGAGATGTTGTGTTTCTTGGCGGTTTCTTCAGCACAAACACCCATGTGGAATTGATTATAAACATCCCACAACCCATCCTTAATCAGTCCGTCCTCCATACTAATAGTCCCGAAAGGCGGATGCTGATTTGACCTGGGCATATAATAAGGTACACGGCTCATATTCTCCATGCCTCCTGCAACTTGTGCTTCCGCGAGGCCCAATTGTATATTCTGTGCCGCAAATACCACGGCTTTCAAGCCTGAGGCACATACTTTGTTGATGGTGACTGCATCCACCGAAGGGGAGAGGCCAGCGAGCATGGAAGCTTGCCGAGCAGGTGACTGTCCGACGGAGGCTTGCAGAACATTGCCCATGTAAACATCGGTAATCTTGGACGCGGGAACGCCGGACTTCTTCAGGGCGGAGGTAATGGCTGTTGCGCCGAGTTGGGGGGCGGGGACTGGGACAAAGGAGCCGTTGAACTGGTTCGTATTAGTGCAAGGACGTCAATGAGCAAAGACAGAGCAATACTTTGCCGGTAGGAGTCCGGGCGGCGCTGAGGATGTATGCGTCCCGGATCTCGCCCCTCGAAGCAGGACTGGTGGAGAGATGCCGTCTGACTTGAGCAACGCGTTGTAGGGGAGAGTGGCCTGCTGAGTGGGACGACAGCAAACGCTGCGAGGTTCTTGGTAATGTGGAAGACATGTCTGATGATGATGTCTGAAGGAAGGAAAGTTCGGGAGAGTCTCTTGCATTGTACCGAGGCCAGAAAATGTGGGGCTTATCTCCGCTAAAAGCCGGTAAATAAATGGCTTTCGAGGCTTGCTTTTCGTTATTCACAGACGGGGGTATTTACTCATCAAGATAGGAGCTTTGTGACTATCGTACATTGTTGTTTAGTCTAGACCTCTTGAAGCGTATGCACATGCTTCCAACGCCGACTTCTTGAACATGCAACACTCATTCCCTTTGTTTCATGCGAACCCAGTCCCACCCTACCCAAACGCATTGTTCATAGCCTTATGCGCCAACTCCACCCCCAGAAAGGTCACAGCATTCGCCGGTACGGCCCTCGCCATCGCCGGCCCCATGCCGGGAAAGAACGCCTTAAAGCCTCCACTCGCATAAAGTCCTCTTATAGTGCCGCCAATCGTTGGTCGTCCCTCAGCACTTTGCAATCGACTCTTGATCGTATCAATCGGGAAAACAGGTATCCACATGGCCACACCCGCTGCCCCACCCGCAGTCATCACTGCCGTCAAGCTCAACTCCCCTGACGGGTTCCCATCTGCGTCTTTCGGCGTCATCTTTCTCTTCACGTATTCATAACTGGCAAAATATGTAGCGCTACCAGGCCCATCTCTTGCGAGCGTCATTGCAGAGCCGCGGTAGACGGATCGTATGCCGCCTTCTTTGTAAAGCTGACGCACGACGTCCATGCCGCCTGAGTAGCGGGGCTTTTCGCCTGGTGCGAGTTGTTTCTGGCCTTGAATCTGGAGGAGAACTTTTACGCGTTCGAAGGGAGCTGTTATGATGGTCATGGGGATGGCGGAAAAGAAGCCGGCGGTCGAGGTTTGGCCGATTGTGAAATGGGCGTCGGAGTTTGTTTGGGGGGAGAATGCTCGGACGAGCTTTTGACCAACATCATAGCCCTGGGTACATTCAGTGGGTGCTTGGAGGCGGACGGTGGAGATCGCGTACCCAGAAGCTGACAGCGACTGTAAGAGGAAATCGTCAGTCTTGGGGCAATGAGCTGGAAGTTCTGGAGCTCTCACACATCGGCGTCACGCCTACTAGAGGTGCCGATACACCCGCATATAGCCCCTACCAAGTTCAATCAGCATGGTGATTCATTTCTTCCACATGCCCTTGAATGCCTACCTTCCGTAAACCTTCCCGAGCAACAGTCTTCCTCACAACATCGAGAGCCCCACTATAAACTCCCTTCTCCGCCGTCTGCATTCGCACCTTCACCAAATCGAAGGGATGTCCCACGATGACAGCACATATTCCACCAACACCCCCGGCGATAAGGGAGCGGAAACTGGAGAGCGTTTGTTTTGAGGCTTCGACGACTTCAGTTCTGACTTCCTCTGCGGAAGGTATTGAAGGGCCGGTCGACGATGACGAAGAGGAAGACATGTTTTAGCGCAGAAAGGAGAGAAAAGACAAGAACGTGAAGAGAAAAAAGGGGAATGGGAGCTTCTTGTTGTGGGACGCAATTGTGGAATTTGGGTTGAGGATCGACAGCCGAGGCACACAGGCTTGCCAAGCCTGCCTTTTCTCCGGGGGGCCACCTTCCTCCGCCCCTCAACTTCACCCTTCGACCGCTGTCCTGACGACCTGTCATATGGTCATGGCTGGCCGAATCCAGACGTATGAAAAGCTACATCAGTATCTATTGGATGAGATCTTGCAGCGAGCTTCGTATGTGCCGTTTGATGTCCGGAGTGGTACGGTCAGCCTTTCGACCTTTTTGCAGCAGAAATGCAATGCTGTGCAGAGTAGGCGTGGTCCCCACCCGAGGTCATTGTGACGGGTGTTTGGGATCAGCACTGTCTTCCTGACTGAACCTGGGGACTGTGACATGGAATGTGACCTTAAGTTGGACGCTTCCTTGGACCAGCCAGCTGGAGCGACTTTACTGATGGCGGTTGCGATAGGCAATAAGCTCAACAGATCGAGTAGGTTTAGGAGGAGAAGTCGCTCACGGTTCGCGGAGGTTTTGGGTATTTGGAAAGCTGTTGCTGCGCGAATGCGCAGCTCTGGCACTCTCGGACAGAATTACGTTTCTGGTGGAGTTCCTTATCATTACGTACTCGGTCTTTACATCCTCTACTCTGGTGTTTTGGACACAGTTCTTTCGCCTGATTTGGTATCGCAATGTTCGTCCATCCCATCTTCTTTACCTCGCGCTCGGGCGTTACTCTTCAATACAACGTCAAATCGACACTCTCAATACAATCTGTCTTGAGCACCGCTACTTATAACTCTGTGCTTTCCATTCAACTCATCTTCTATTCCTCGCCTTTAAGCGCCGCCCTTCAGTATATTTTTCCTAAAGCAACAATTAGATTGGAACTTTCAACATAATCAGTGTCGAACCCTGCTAATATTGAATTTCGTACTCTCCTTTTAATCTACCCCTCTCTATACAATATCAAGTCGAGCTTTAAGTATCGCATCTTTATTTAACGCATTTTTCTTCGCGCGTTGAGACGCGTTGATCCCATGTATCAACAATGCGCCCTTGACTTCAATCAGCCGCTGCTCCGCCCAGCTCCTTCTGCTGCCCCCGCTGCGGTGCTTCCTTGATCAATGACGTGACCCTTGGCCCCATCCAGAAACCCATTATCCAGCGCATGCTTCACAGCCGGATACACAAGCCGCGCAAAGTTACTGTTCTGCGCGAGCACATATTCGGAACTGATGCCATCAAAAGCGCCAAAGATCTCCTTACTCTCATCCGTAGATAGCAACGTTGCGTGCCACCAAGCAGCGAAGAAGTCCATCGGTGCAGCGTGTACGATAAGCGCCAATCTCTCTGCCAGGTGTTTGGCGGAATGAGCTGGAAGTTCTCGATGAAGTCTGTCAGGTTGTCGATAGGGTGGTTGTTGACAGCAGGCTCGCCGGCGTCCTCATGTACGCCGTATAATTCCTTTAGATCTTGCATTTCCCACGACGAAGGGAAGAAGGAGTCTTGCGGCAGCACCAGCACTTGATTATCAGCGGGGCTGAAATCCTTGGCTAGAGTGGTCAGCAGCCACGTTACGTGGGTCGCCCATTGTCCGTCGAAGATGAAGTCTTGAAGGGCGTGGTAGGCTTTCATGAGTTTGTTGTCGCGCGTGGATAGGAGGACTGCGGGACAAATCTGGCCATTCATCTGTCTTCCTATGACATTTTCGAAACCGGTGCCGCGAAGTGGTTTCAGGTCTCGGAGGACGTAGGAGTCCTCGTCGAGGAAGATACTCCCGTATTTACGAGCGCATCAGTGCGGACAAAATCGGACATGTTGGGTAGTGCTACGACTGTTTTGCCTGTCGTGGTGTTCGTAGGAGGTGTGCAATGGACAGATTTAAGGTTGGGATATCTTGCCGCTGGCTTGCATGTATGGGTCGATGGCGGTCGCAATCTCCTTTTTGACAATGTCGTCCACCACATTGGTGTGGATGTAGATGGTCTCTGGTTTGAGGAAGTGCCATGCAGAGTATATGGCAATGAAGTGGCGGAATTCGAATCCGAAGGTAGGAAGGCCGGCTTCTCCTTGGGTTTGATAATGTGGACGAAATGAACGATGTTTGGGACTGTTGTTGCTTGTTCTCTCGATTGTCAATGTTATCCAATGACTTCGCGGTTGAATTACTGTGCACGGTGGCCGGTTCATTCAAGTCAGTGGTACATGATGACACGACTCCGCTTGAAGGAAGAAATCTATGGACCACCACGATAATAGAGATGAGTATAAGCTCAATATAAATAAATAGCCTAAAAAATAGCATATACATATCAGAAAGAGTTATTACTTGTACGAGTGCTATTTTGTGCGTGTGGATGAATTAAGTGGGAAGAAAGTGTTAAGAGGGTCTTCACTTTTGAGGAAGGCCCAGTATTGAGCCATACAGCGCATGAGCGGTCCGTAAGCTTCTGTCACACCTCCATCAAACCTCCGAATGTAGCGCTGTAGCATGCTCGTCCCAGCAGCAGCGTCAACATGGGCCATGTTGGTTTTCAAAGCGACCTTATCTTGGAGGTCAGGCAAAAATTCCGGACGGCCCAATCATGAGGTCGGGAATACAACATACCACTTGAGACGAACGGTCTTGTCGCTCCTAGTCATTTCTCATCTTGCAGCGTTGCTTCTCCTGTCCGGAAGTAGTCTACGCTATAACAGCTAGTTCCTCAGTCAAAATCACCAACATCAAGCTTCCGGCCCGCTGCTTCGATGAGAGCCGCCAACATAAGACCTCCATGTCAATTCTCGGTCCATGTGTCGTGTCACAATTCCTGCTTCCAGCTCGGAAATTCTATTACGCATCTAAGAACAAGGTCATAACGACTGGATGTGAAGACTCTTGATGGCAGTGGAGTGGCTGAGAAATCGGCGGAAGTCTCCTGGCCTGAAACCTCCAGTCGTCTTCGGACCTCCTGAGCCGATGTGCTCTTATGCGCGGAACCGAATTTCAAATTGGGAGGATCTGTGAAGAAGAGACTGTGTCCGGACTGGAGGTCGCGATGTCCAGAGTAAACGATAGAGAGTAGCTGGGTCTCGTGTGGATGGTGCGCCTGTCCGAACGAATTAGTGATTGATTTGCATTCGTGCTGTCCACGGTAGCGAGAACCCAACTGGCATGTCATTCGCGTCTCCTCCAAGATGTACGTGCGGCGATTTGAATTCAGATCTTCTAGGTAGCCGCACACCTTGCATTTATTATTTCGCTTCCATCCGGACTCGAGTTGAGTCACTGGCCTTTGGTGCGGTTTCAGATAGATGGCTCATGGTTGCCCGGAGTGTGTTTTTCGAGAAAACGAGAAGCGAACGCCGGGTGGTGAACGGGAATTTTGTCTCGCTCATTTTCTACTTGCGCTATCCCCAACAGCATTGCCATGCACTTAAGCAACAACTCGATAGGTCTGGGTTAGATTCGCTTATCGTAGTCCAGATGCCAGACTATCATGCAAGCATGAGATAAGACGTTAGGCCTGAAGACGCCCAAAGCGCTGTTCACGGACCTCGGTGAGAGTGGTATGCACGCTGGAATACTGTACACCCACCGAGCATCTCCGTACAATCACTTGATACTGTATCAGTACGCACAGCAATATATGTCGATACTCTCTCCTCCGTCGCCTACTTCCCTATCATGTCGTCCGCTCTCTTTACTTGAGATTTCCAACCACCGGCAAATTAAAATCATACCAAATATGATTCTTAAAATAACCCCATTACATTTATACTCACAAAAAATGGGGTATAATTTTAAGTTGCAGTCTTGGGTATAATTTTAATTCATTTCTGGGGTATGAAAATGTAAATACCATTAACATTTAGCAGCAGCCCTTACGGCCTGCGACGTCCCAGGAGCCTACGGGGCCCTATTTAGGTCCAAATAGGAGTCAAGCGCAGACACCCCGGGACCAAGTTTTTAGCTAGTTCTAACACAACATCCCTATACCTATACCTATAAATCATTAGAAGGGTATTTTAGGGTGTTTCAGGCTATCTACCCCAATTGTTAGTAACCGAGTTACCGCTAAAGGGTTAAATAGAGGTGTTTACACTTCACCTGAACACCCTAAGACGGAGGAATAATTCCTAACACCAACCCGCCCTATAGATGGCAACTTACAAAATCATACCCCTATAAATGGTATCTTACAAAATCATACCCTGTCAATGGTATCTTACATTTATACCCCATTGGGGTATGAAAATGTAAGATGGTATAATTTGTAAAATCCCATATTGGGGTATGAAAATGTAATTCGCCCTCAACCACCTGTACGATGCTATCAGTTAGCCTGCTTCATCTTTGCTTGCTCCCAGCTCAATGTAATATACTTAGCGGCGTCAAATTTGCCGCCTCCGCCCAAAATTACGAAATTAGGGCAGAGCTAGCTAGGACTCACCAGACTACTGACAAGAAAAACCGCCCACACTCCTCCTTGGCTTGCAACAAAGCCGAGCTTAGCGTGCGAGTACCCTCAGCTCTCTGCACGGACGTGGCGATGACACTCACGTCCTAAAGAACGCCTGGCTAATGAAAGTTCTTTTTTTTTTTTTACCCCCCCCCCCCCCCTTTTCAGCTGCTTTACTTGAGGGTTTTTACGAGCGTGTGCTTGAACGCGTCCACGAATACGCTCTAATGATGAGCCCTCTGAAAGTAGTGTCCCTTTCTATACTAGACTTGCACTTGGACTTCATGTGCGACTCTGCCGAAGTCTCCTGAGACTTGATAGCCTTCATTAGGGCAAATGCAACCAAGAGAGGTTTCACGGGGAAGTTCAAAGCAGTTGTGTTTCACGGCCCTACGGAAACGGTGGTGAATGTTGCGTTGCGGATTCGGGGGCCCGCTGATCCAAATGATAGTACGGAGACTAATACCGGGCTATAAGTGCGCTGAAAAGGTTGTCAGCACACCGTGTTCTCAGAACAAGGTAGCGGCGTTAAGCTGATTCTTTCAGATGATAATCCGACTATACTGAGACCGGGGTAAATCACATGTAAGGACGACCTTTGTAAATTAATCCACGTTGGTCCTCACTCTTTCCCCTATTAGCATCACTCATCACTATCCTTCCCCATATCACACCACAGATACTAAAACGTATCTCAGCTCGTGCTGTCATGGCTGTTAAGTAAAGGATCACTGTCCTACTTCTGTGCCTGACCTCAAGCACAGGAAGCACTTTGCTATGAGTCGAAGCCGCCGAATCATCAAGCGCCAAGGCGCTCGGCACGCCATCTACAGTATTCCTATTCTCGTCCTTGGGAGTGATGTTGAGGTAGTAAAATGTGGTGGGGATTTTATTTTCAGGATGGCAGCACCTGGGTTCGTCTTTTGGTTCTGAACGGAGTGGACGCTTTATTGACCAGGCATGTACCTCGCGGCGCTGCTTCTTACCTGAGAACACCTGCGGATAGTATGCATTACGACTGGCATGTCCTCCCGACATCACGTTACAAAGGGGGACGTCAATAGTGTGTATTCCGAACAAGGAAACGTCTTGACCACTTTCTTTTCTGTGCCTACAATGCATCGGAAACAAAGGAGACAAGACTCGTCCTTGTCAGATCCATTGTCGAACAACTGCCTCACAGTTTCTTTCACTTGACCCACGCAATGTCCTCTCACTTCAACACGTCCGAAATCGAAACAACGAAAACTTACCGACACAACACTCTCATCAACATCCAGTCGAGCAAATCCATAAAATCTCCCATCTTCCACCTCCACAAGATCCAATCTTAGCAAACCTCGGGCAGCGAGTTTTCGACACTATCGCAGCAATGCAAGAGGAAGACTGGGGCAGATATGCTCAAGCGCCTTTCATGACAGTAAGAACATCGAAAAGCACAGCCGTTTCAACTAGCTGGAAGCAAAGTGAAGCGAAACAGCCCGCGCAAACATCCGCCACTGATCGCACGTCTGACTTCTCAAAGGACACGTCCAGTCACGATGAAGACAAATTCCGCGCCGAAGTAGATCTCGCAGATCTCAAAATCAAGCAACGGCGCTGGAATTTCGCCCGGAGCCGGAGACCCGCATCCTCTGATAGTTCGCTAGCCGACGAGCCGCATATAAGCCCCCGGAGTCGTACTTGGCCTACCAAGGTGCCGTTGTCCGCTGATCGAACAGACAAGGAGAGAGTCGAAGACGACGATCTCCGCCTACGGAATACGATTGCAAACCCCAATCCGGCGCTCGACAGACGGCTGATGGGCCAATATCTCGACAGGTGCATCGCCGCTACAGAATCACAATTGGCAGGGGGAAGGAGTAAGTCGAAGAAGAAAGAGGCCGTGAAGGAGATTGAGCGGCTGGTGGAGAAAGTAGTGAGTGACGCAGGTGGGTTTGGCGCGCGAGAGGGATGAGTCGTCTACCAAGTAAGTATCCCCTGTACCTCCTGCCTTCCTCTTGCAATGACTTATTGCTAGTTATCACAACATCGCCTCCATCAATCCCTCAGAAAGGAAGCCGGACGCGAGTTCTAAACACCATGAAGCACTCATGGGTCTTGAAGTACTAATGGGTCTGATCCGCGAGATTGGAAGGACAGCTGTAAGTGTTCATCCTCTCGTCGATTTTGCCTGGTTGACGTGATTGAAAGCGTGTGATCAAACCGAGCCGACCGTTGGCACAATCCAAGATGAGGCTCGCAATGTGAATCGAGAGATGACCCGGCCTGCCTTAGTATCTCCTCCTTAAAGCTTAAACAAACTTAGATATACGAGGTTATCTTCTATATCAGAACCGCTCGCACGATCTAATACCTTCAGAATATGACGTTGATTGTAGGATTTAGTCTCTTTATTGTCACGTGATAGCGGTAGTATCGGACTAAAATCAATCGCTCGTTATGCCAGAATCATTCAAGAACTCAGACCAACAAAAAGAGACCTTAGTATTACGACATACAACGAAACGTCAACTTCGGTGTCATCAACAAAGAAGGCTAGGCGCGGCGACAACTCGACTGCACCAATCAACAGTGGATCTGATGATGGTTGGTGCCGATATGTACTCCTGGAGCTGGGCCGCTCTTCCGCCTCCACTGTTCGTGCTTACTTGAAATTTAAGATAGCACGATCTCGTCCCTAATGAAGTATCGCTCGGACTGCCAGTCTCTTGTATGATGCCTTCGCTGGTAATGGATGGCTTATCGCTATTGTGATAATATTGAAGCTAGTTGGCAAAGAATCAAAAAACATATCCATGCATGCCTGAACGGAGAGGATGAGGGCCAATCGCGCAAGTCATGCCACGACGACTTCGCCACTTCATCCTCTCCATTCCCCCTCCCCTCACAATCCCATATTTCTCATCGACCAGTGCGCGCCTACATCGAGAGCTTCAAACGTCCTCGCGCGAGCTGTGAAACAAGATTGCCATACTCAAAGTTCGACACTGATATTTGATAGGCGTTTACCGATCCCGGATCGCGAACCAAGAATAGCCATGTCAGTAGCAGATGAAACCCGCTGGCGCCAAGTCACGTGGGACTTGGTCCAAGCTTCGGAAGAATCGATATATCTTCTCTAGACATTTTCTCTTCATCTTTTTTTTCTCCACCATCAGAATACTTTCATCATTCCTTCTTTTGTTCAATACATTTTCTTCAGTATCAGCAGGTCTGATAACCAGCGCCTATTTGTACATACACACACATACTTCACACTTTCTTTGCACAATTTCATTCGTCATCAGCAGGTCTGATACCTAGTACATACATTCACCATTACATACCCAGACCTCCATTCAACATCAAAATGCGTCTCTCCCTCGTCCTCCTAGCGCTCTCCACCCTCGCAGCGGCCGGACCGCTCCCACCCTTCTCGACAGCTGCCCTAGAAGCCCGCGCTCCTCCCTTTGTAAGTCCAGTCCCTACCGGAAAAGGCCACGGCTGACACCATGACCCCACAGACGCCAGCTAATAATACCCTGGGTTCCGATCCAGTCGCGGCCTTGACCAAATTGAAGGCGGTCTATGACAGTGTCAATGAACCCAAACCTAGTGGTTCCTCAATAGCCAAGCGCGGTTTTTGGAAGTGGCTCAAGGATGCAATTGAATCTCCTGGTCTGAAGATTAGATCTCCCGTCTCCAACTCTGTAAGGTCTGACCCGTGTGAAGAACAACAGAGCTGACACAAAATTGTTTCAGACATCCTATGACGAAGCACTCGGTCCTGATCTCATTGCGACCTTGACTGATTTGAAAGCTGTCTACGATAGCCTCGATGTGAAACGCACGGAGAGCGGCATCAAAGCCAAGCGCGACTTTTGGAAGTGGCTCAAGGATGCATTCGAATCCCCCGGTCTGAAGATCAGATCTCCCGTCTTCAACTCCGTAAGTTTTGTCCTTCGCCAGGAAGGATAGAGCTGACAGGGAACCTTTTCAGACATCTTTTGAAGAAGCACTCGGTCCTGATCTCGCGGCGACCTTGACTGATTTGAAGGCTGTCTACGAAGGTCTCAATGTAAAACGCACGGAGGGTGGCTTCAAAGCCAAGCGCGGTTTCTGGAAATGGCTCAAGGAGACGATCGAATCTCCTGGCCTGGAGGCCAGATCATACAGCGGCTGCTCTCTCATCGACAGCAACTCAGACGATGCCTCCGAAACCGAGCGCGCTCCTATGGGTGGCGCCGGGTCTAAAGGCCCGATATTCCCATGAGGAGAGTCTCCTGAACAGCATCTCAGACGGCATCCTAAAGGGCAAAGGGGGGTGGCTTTTCCACTGACGCTTCTCACTCTAGCGTCGAAGCAGGATCTTGATCTGATGGATGCAATGATGAGCTACGATCGGGGCATGAGGATAATTGGTCCTGTAAATAGTGGCATGCGAGTGTGACGAATGAAACGAATATTCGCCACCAAACCCTAATCTGCCGTCGCTCTGTTGGAGCATCCTTTGTCATTCGCCACGTGCCCATTCTAAACCTGATTGGTGAAGTGTGAAGAAGCGCTGTCGACCGCGGAAAGCCCAAACGACTCTGCCGTCCAGCATCGTCAATCTATGAACTGCTCCATGAAGTGGTAGGATATCCATTCGAGGCAAGTATTCTGTCCCCACGTGTGTCATGAAAGCATGAGTATTCCGTCTCTGGGAGAGGCGAAGCCTGTGGAAATCCAAGCCGGGTCGATTCCCGTACGGCGATCATGATCAAGAGACTGATCAACTGCAGTACGAGACCAAAGTTTGTGACAAAGAATGCTGGACTGTCCCCGAAGCTTGAGAATCGAAGAAGCTACACCGAACGAGCAGAGAAGGTGGGAGACATCAATACCGGGCAAGAAAGCATGCTCCATGATGCCAGACTTTGAAAATAATCCTAGCAATTGATCTGCCAAAGCATGTTCATTTTTTTTTGAAAATTTTTCGTAAGTTTGGCACATCACCGCGCCCGTCCTCCAAGCAAAACACCAACAACCTTTCCATTTCCTTGACGTTTCTTTAAGGTTCAATCCGGCCGCTGAACCGCAACACTCGTACCATCCGAGCAGCTCGCATTGCCTTCAATAGTAAAGCCGAAGCTGAGCTCTCCCATCGTTCATTCATTCATTTCCAATCTCCTTAACAACACCCGTAAACCCAACACCATCCCCCCCAACACCATCCCCCCCAAGACCCACGTCACCAACGTGGCCAAGTCTACTCAAGCCAACTAGCCAGAAGAGGACGATCAGCGCTGTCCGTCTCGACGGAACGATGAACGGGCTTCTCGTGGGGTGATGACAGGGCCGGAGAGGAAGAGTCGGCGGACGATGACGATGACGGTGCGGACCGGGAGGATCGAATGGAAAAGTGGGCTGTGGGCATGGGCTTGGGCCTGGGTAGCGTGTTCCAGAAGGCTGACGAAGAGGGAAATGATGAGTGGGGGGCATGGGTGCTTCGAGACAGAGATCAATTATAGTGCGACTGCTTTGATATAGCAGCGCGATGGTTTGAGAACTGCTTCGTGTAATTACTGCCTGCTTCTCTCATCATCTGCCGATGCGGAAAGGGGTATAAGCTATGTTTGCTATGCACACAATGAAACGACTTTCCTATGAAGCGCCCTCACCGCCATGCATCGGCTCCATATACACAGCCGTCAAGTAGCCATACCCTGTGAATGATCAATGCCATGCATGCTTCCGAGAATGCTACGCTAATGACGCCTGCTCGAAAGTTCCATGAGTGAACCCCAGTTACAACTTCCCGCCCCTAACCTCCTTTGAGAAGATCTTCACGTCCTTCACATCCGCGAATCTCGTCGAGAATTTAAGCTTCGTCTCCCCAGCTCCCATGTCGGCTAGGATATCGTCCACATCATCGGAACCCGAGTCATCCGTTGCAGGAACGAAGAGGCCTAGAGTGACATCCGCCGGAGCTTTCCCTTTGCCCTTCCTATCTTTGCGTTTGTCCATGACAGCCTTCAAATGTCGCCGAAATTGTTCAGGCTTTGCCTCCAGCGCCGTGACTTGATTCATCATGGCGATGTATCGAAGCTTCATGTTGGGGCAGTGCGAGAGGTTATCGACTGCAAAACTGATGCTTTCGGTTGGTAGCTGAACGCTGCGGTCGGTGGAGCGTAGTGTAATGATGTGTAGGGCGTAGAGGCTTTTCAAATGTGGAAGGAGCTGCATGAGAATGTGCTGTGTTCATCAGCATGACTCGTTTGCTGTGGGATGGAATAGCTTACATAAGTCTTCAGACTGAGGCTGAAAGCCAACTCCCTAAGTTTCGTCCCTTTGAGTGCCAGACCTCGTAGCGTTTTTGGGTCCACGTCCCACTGCTCATTACGCTCGTTTCGGAGCGATAGCCGCTGCAACGTTGGCATATGCTTTCGAAGGGCACCCTTGCGTATGGTCGAAATCGTAACTGTTGACTCAGACTCAGGCTCGGCCGCCTGCTTCTTGTTCCGTTCGAGCATGAAAAGCTCTTCCAGACCTTCAAAAGTTGCGAGAAACTTCACGAATGGAAGCGATACGTTGTCCGTATGGATGCTCTTGAAAGCAATAACCTGAGTAGCGCTTTGCAGCCGTACGAGAAGAGTCCAGAAAGCGTCCTGGGGGCCAACCTCGAGAAGCGTCAGACGCTTTAGAACACTCAGGTCTAGAGCTCTTGCTACAATGGAAGCTTTCAATGGAACCCATTCAAGTGAGAGTTCCTCGAGCTGTAAACCATGTGTTGCACGTATGTATGCTTGCATTGCCTCGTCCGAGGACATCGCTGGTGTCGAATTGTCTTCTGCTGACGGATTCGGTTCTAGGCTGGTTGTATTAGAAGAGCTTCCTATTTCCGCCAAGCCGACTTTAGCTCGCTTTCTTGGAGTTCCGGTCTCTTCAGCACCTTCTGAACCAGCAATGATCTCCTGATCTTCCCCCAGATCCGTGGTATCGTCGTCAGGATGTTCCATATCGACATCCATAGACCCTTCCAGAGCTTCTGTATCTACGCTGGCCGCGAAGAAGGGCTGCGGTGCCGACGGTGGGGTTTTCGTACCCTCGGATTCATCTTCGGAGCTGAAAGGATAGCCTTTTTTGGCGGGAGTCGGCTTTTTCGGTGGCTTGTGCTTTGTCTTTTGGTTTTGCCCGATATTTGATACATACTTGTGTGTGCTCGGAGGCGCGTCTTTGTTGGAGGCAGTGATGCCCCATGCCCCACTGCTGGGTGCCTGAAGGGGTGAGGAGTACCCCGGAGGAGAATGGAAACCCGTGGTGCTGTGGTTGCTGTGCTCATATGGGAAATTAATAAGCTGGTTGGCAGACGCTGCGTAAGATCCCGCGACGTACGGTGACGTGTATGGTTGAGAGCTAACAGGCTTGGAACTGCTGCCCCCAGGAAGATAAGAGAGCAGAGTAGATTGATCCAAAGAAGAGAAGGGGCCGCTAGGGGGAAAAGGCTTCGGCGTCCCGTTGGACAAGGAGTCTCCAGGCCCAGAAGCGAAGTATGGGCTCGTTGGACTTGAAAGGGTTTCAAAATCGTGATCGATGACATTGGGACCCTTGGTGGTCGACGACGGCTTGAAACCCGACGCGAGAGGATTCAGAGGCTTAGACGCTGCTTTCTTTGCAGTTGGCGTAGGCGGCTTGTTTTGTTCGGTCAGAAGTTTCTTCAGTTTCTGTGTCTCTTGATTTGAGATGTATCTTTCGGCAACATCTTTTATCATCTTCAGATGCTGCAAGCGAATCTCGAGGGAAGTGGCGTCGGAGCCTGCTGCTAGTGGAGAGTCCATCAACGATTTCATTAGCTGATTGACCATTCTGATGCTCTCCTGGCTGTCTTCTTCCTCTCGGAACTGTCCTCCGGATAGCGACAGAGTCTTCTCTAGCTTCTTCCCTTCGGCAGATACACTCTGGAGATCGAACACTTTGGCTAGTATGCTTTCTTGTGCAAGCTTTTCCCTCCGGATGTCGGCCTCATTTGTGGTGGTAGCAGCTTGGGAAGAACCCGTAGGAGGCTGCGGTGGTTGACTCAACTCGTCTTCGTCATCCATTTCCGTGTCGGATGGATCATCCAATTCAGGATTATTTATCGGCATAGGTTTCCGGGATTTCCGTGCTAGCTCCGTGGAAAGGGACAAGGTCAGGCACTTGAGGGAAGCGGACGAGGCTTTGATGCACTCTGCTATCTCAGATAAGCAGTCGTGGTTGGACATGCCGACGATTGTCAAGGTATGGAGAGACTTGAAGCCAGAGAATGCCCTGCCATTTGCCCAATAATTGAGTCCTCCACCACTTCCAGCCTTTTTCCGTTTGATGTTGTTGATTTTGGCTGCCGTATGGTTTGGATAAGGATTCGGAGCGCTTGCTGGGCCCGGCGGAGGCGGGACGAATTGTGTTGGAATGGCCAGAGGTGGCTGGTTCTGCATCTGTGCTTGCATAGCTTGTTGCATCGCAAGTGAAGGGTTCGGTGGAGACGGACTAGGGCGAATGATCAGCTTCGGCGACGGCGATATATCAAGCCTGATTCGAAGGCAGCGTAGGCTTTGAATCTTGTGAAGAGCTTGGTATACTGCTCCGCTTATCTCAATAGGCGCATCCCATCTGGATTTCTGTCAGTAGATGTCGCATGTCAATCAGTATCGAGCATTCTTACTGAAATGTTTCGAGGATGCGGAGCCTCCGAGCCACCAGGAGCAATGCGGTATTGAGAAACTTGCTAGAGTCGGACTTTGAGTCCCATAGCAGCCGTGTCATCAGAAATGGGTCTTGTCCGACGTGACCAAGGCTCCTAGGCGCGTATTCGATACTGTCTTCATTCACCCCAAGCCGAAAGCTCTTGATGTGTTGCCCATAATCGTGTTCGCTTGCGCAAACAGTTTGAAGAGCATCCGCCGCGTGCGAGCTGGGCACTCCATTCTCCTCATCCCCAGAGTTGGTGATCTTCAGGTCCAGGTCTCGATATATCTCAGCGCTGGCGAGGGAGAGGAAATGCGGAGACACTCGTTGAAATGAGAAAAGGTCTTTGCGGCTGACCTAGAATTACTGTTAACATATGGGTATCAAGAATGCCCAGAGGGCTTACCTGTGCAATAATCTGCTTCTGTGTTTCCAAAGGTAGATCTAGGAGGTACAATCTGCCCTCCGGTCTCTGCATGACGACGGATTTGCCCTTGAAGCGCCTGCTTGGCCCTGACACGTCTGACTTGGAAGCGCTCATAGCGGGTGGCGAAGATGGAGATGGATAATCGGTTGGTGGTTGGCTTAGAAGTGTAAGATGTGAGTTCCTGTGAAAGAAAGCAAGCTAGGCGTATGTACGTCTTTTGGGTCGAAATCATTCCATGTGAAGGATCGTTGTAGATGTAGATGCAGAAGGTGGTACGAAGACACCGATGCCGCTTCAGCCGTGGCACCTTCCTGCCTTATGCACAACGCTTGGGAATAGTATCCAGCCCGTATTTCATCGAAGCATGCTGGGGTGAATTTCCTGACGGCCTCCAATAGCTATGGACGGGTGCCTTTGTCTTGTGGAAGGTCACTGAATTTTTTCAATTAGACCGTTGGTGACATTGTGTTTGGTGATTGGTGAAACAGAAAAGCTGTTGAAATGGGGCTCACGGGCAGTGCTCGGCAACAATTTAGCGCCATCGCCGGGATCCGGGAGATCTCCGCCTGCCGCATGGCACCCCGGTCAAGGCGGTCTTACTTTACTTAAATCCTTGCAAGCCCATGTGCCTGGATCTTCACCTTCCTCTCTCATACTTTTGCTTCCTTTTGTTTTGATATTTTCATGTTTGAACATTGCTAGCAGATTGCAGTGAAAGTTTGTTATCAGAGTAGCAACTAAAATCTCGTTGTACCTTGTCTAACGATGATTGAAATCCGAACGCTAGCGACGTAGATATTTAGTGACCAAGACGGCTTCCTATGTCTCATGAGTCATGACTAGAGACACATTGCATACGCTCTGCACCATCATGTCACAGCAATACCGAGATTAAATTTCGGGTACCGTCATGATCTCAGCACTCGCACCACTAATCCACCCGCAGCATATTTGCTGTGACATTTGATAGAGGGTGAAAGCCGAGCAATATCAACATAGCTGGGTCGACTGTTGCAGCCTGTAGTGCCTCCACTGTACCTGGTAGCGCAAACCTCTGCACATCGGATTGGTTAAAAGATTCCAGTCCAAACGGCGAGTCCGTTCTCACCACCTAACCAAAATTCCGCAGATTAGCTTTTCTCCCAAGAGATTGACACTCATCAAGGCAGGTACATGTATAACCTTCTCAGATATTCAATTACGTAGATGGGTCTGCCACCGAACTCCTTACCTTAGCATGCACAAGTCCGTCCGCTCCAGCTGGATATGCCAAACCAACCTTACTCTTCGCAGACAAGCACTGAGCAACCACCTCTTCCCCAGCTGACGCTACATCCGCCAGTCTGAAGTCATCGACGGCCCATAGATCGTATGAGTCCACGTCCACATGAACGGCACAAGTGGTTGGACCACGCCCAGAGATCCAGTAGACCTTCGGTACCTTCTGTGTGTCAAGGGTTGTGGGAAGCCTGCGGCCCCAAGCCTTCATATTGTTCTCGCCTGGCATGCGAGACAGCCAGCTGATCGCCTCTAGCAGATCTGTACAGTCGCTAACGGTAGGTAGAAGGCCAGGGGCAGGGGTACATATTGCTGCTTGAGAGAGTGTGTAGATGGTGAACGGTGCGAACAGCAGTAAAAGCGAAGATTGGAACATGCTGCGGTACAATAACAGTGAAGACTGTGGAAGCTGGACAGTAGAAGCTGCACATGAGAGAATTACGCGGAAGTAGATCTGCAGGTCTCGGTCTTATAGAGCATGTTGTGGACGGATCATAGCATGCGAAAGAAGCGCTTAAGCGCAGCCTTACCCAACATCCGACATGCCTTGCACATTAAGAGGAAAGGATTTGGAGAATAACCACCACAGTTTCTGCAAGCGTGGATTGGAAGAAGTTGCGAGCAGACTGCTGGCTACTCACACCCGCCATAGACACTCCCGGATCCAATGGCAGAATTCAAGTATTACCGAGCATTGGTTGACAATCCTGGAGGCCCTGGACCACAACAAACAGAAAGCGAATTACGAAACCGAGTGACTGATCCAACTGCATTCACTTGCCAAGAAGACAGCGATTGGTCAAGAGTTTCACCCTGATGGATTCCGCGAGCTGATGGCTCTTTTTCGGAATAGCTCCATCCATCTGCGGACGCGTCAAGATTCTTTTGGTTTATCAGCGATCATTATCCTCAGTCACGATGACTTTATTATTGCAAGAAATCCGTGTTCAGCGCTTCTAGGTGTCCACACAAGATCGAACGCTTTTCCTGGCGCGGGAAAGGTTTCGGCACATCGTCCCCGCCGTCCCGCACTCCGTCGCTCTGAGCCTATTGCTATATTTCAATCGTTAAAATTCTTACATTTCACTATTGCTTAGTGCTATGAGGGTCTTCAATACATGTTACTTGCCAAGCATCCCGCCTCTCTCATCTCCTTGTTTGATATTGAAATCGTCGACCAATCCGTCATACCTTGGCCCGTCGCAGATCTTGTCCATCATCTTCCCGCATTGACATAGGCAGAAAGATCACGTTCTCATTTCGCCGTCAATTCAGCAGCACACTACATCATGTGGAGTCAGCGTCTCTCTCCTTAGATGGATTTTTGAGTCTGATGACATGTTTGAGGAGCAAGACATGTGTCTCTACTCCTCAGACATGTCTAATGAACCGGAAATTGGTACAGTAGGGGATTAAACCAGTCAGGGTGGGTACTCACAGTTAAAGGTCCATAATTACACCAGCCTCTCTCGGTCCCTTTAACATCGATTTTCGCGATATCAACCTCCACTTCCTTGGCCAGAAGGTCCAAGCGTGAGTAGTCAAGCATGTCATCCCTCCCCATGATGTCCGCTTCAAAAGCTATCCTCCGCAGCTTCGGCGTGCACGACTCTTACGCCTGGAGTAACCTTTCTAATGCAGTCGTAAGCACTTTGACCCTGCCGCGTGCGTGAGAAGTAAAGCGTCTCAATCGATGCCGGCATTAGGGTTGCAAGATTGGGAGCACGGTCCTGATCGTGAGCCCCAGCCCAGATAGTGCCGACTCCCTCGACACCAAACTATAGGTACATACCCATTCTCAGGTTCCACAGTACCTTGAAGCTAGAAAGAGTGCTCATGGGCGAGTAATCTTCGTCGACAAAATAAACCTTTCCCCCTCATAGTCGAGCCAGTGAGTGTATCAGCCCAAACTAAAGCTCTGCCCAGCTATAGCTACAGGTTCTGGGATAGACCCAGTTCCAGCTCAATTCGTAGACTAACGTTTTGAGCTCTTTGGATGCTCGAAGAACATTTGTCAAATCTGTTGCGTTGAGTCTGCTGTCTCTGAGTTCAAGGCAAACAAGTGGAATAGCGGCAGTTTCGAGCGTGGCTAGACCCTCGTGGGCTCTATCATTGTAGCTACCAGCCTTTGACCGAAGAACTCGCGGAGCGAGGGCAGTTGGAGGAAGTTGGATAGCACATCAAGTGCTTCCCCTCTCTCTTCCTTGCAATTAATGACCACCACTCTCAGCGAAGGAAAGGCTGGTTGGGTCCGGAAGAGAATTCCCGCCCTTGATGGCCGTCCGGTCCAATTCTTTAAAGCCATCACCAGGTATTCTTAGATCCAGGCTTTTTACAATCGGCAGCGAGGAGAGTAACAACGCGACGTATGCATCTTCATCGCCTTTCTTCAAAAGTCCAGCCCAACTTTTCTGCTGTATTCGGGAAAGACTTGACCTGAGTCGAGACCTCTGGCGGCAAAGAGCTGAAGCAAGCTGGCATGGTTGATCGATTATGGCAGGTCTACGTATAGAGAGCAAGGGTAGCCTATAAGACGTGTGTAGCACCCGATTTTGGGCGACAGTTCCGCAAAACTGGAGTTGAAGAGTCGAGGTTAAATGGATGGAGAGCACTATACTGCCCGAGGCAAGTTGGCGCTACAAGCTCGATGGTAACGGTGCAAGAGTAAGTTAGGGACAATTTCGGGGCTTAGTAGAGTGCTTGAATTGTGTACCTAGCTATGTAAGTGCTATTTTGCTGAGGACATTCGTGTCAATGGACTAGCCCCCCCGAGGGGGGGAAAAACCCTAAAAATGCGAAAAATTTTTTTTTTTTTTTTTTTTTTTTTTTTTTTTTTTTTTTTTTTTTTTTTTTTTTTTTTTTTTTTTTTTTTTTTTAATAATTTTTTTATTTTTTTTTTTTTTTTTTTTTTTTTTTATTTATTTTTTTTTTTTTTTTTTTTTTTTTTTATTTTTTTTATTTTTTTAAAAATTTATTTTTTTTTTAAAATTTTTTTTTTTTTTTTTTTTTTTTTTTAATTTTCTTTTAAAAAAATTTTTAATTTTAAAAAAATATTTTTTTTTTTTTGTCTTTCTTATAAATTTTTAATATTTTTTTTTAAATAGTATAACGTTTTATTTATAATTAATAAGACTTAGTAAATATTTAAATTCGAGTTTTATTATTATAATTAATACTTTAAATATTAGATATATTAATAAAATATAATTAAAATAGAGAATAGTAATATTAGAATCGATATAGATATAATATTAATATAGATATATTAAATAAGATAACTAGATATCGAATAGCTATATAGATAGAAGATATTAGATAATAGTAGATAGCTCTATTAAGATACGCTAGACTCTAATAGATTATAAGACTAAATAATATATTAAGAGAGATATAGAATACGATTATAACACTATCCCCCCCCCCTTATAGAATTATACCCTTATAATTAATAAGTGAAAGAGTAGTAAAAATAGTATATATACACGCTCGCTTAAAAATTAATAAAATAACAAAGAACTTTTAGTATCTAGAATCTCTAATACTACGGTCTTCCTCGGCGGTAGTATAGATAGCGAGAGCTTATATCTTAACCTTCGCGTTAACGTCGTCGCTAGTTAGAGATATAGCGAGTATAGAAATCCTAGTCTAAAAGGAATTAGTGTAATAATAGACGAGTAGTGAATATAAGTATTTTAATGAATAATAATAATTCTCGAGTTGATATTCTAGCGTAAAGGATATTAATAAAATAATGCGAGTTGATTAATTGAGAGATCTCGAATCAAATCGAGTTATAGACGCTAAACTTTAATTTAATATCAAATTAGTTTAATGTAGGCTTCTCCGTAATAAGCTATCTAATCGATATCGATTATACCTAGCGATAGCGATAGTGAGGTCCGCGTATAATCTAATATAACTTCGAAATATATTAAGAATTATATTAATAAGGGGAGACGGCTTAATAAGTCTAAAATGAGGTTGTTATAAAGTAATATAGGCCTGAGGAATCGAATTGCGAACGCGAAGAAAATAAAGTCGTTATAAAATATCGGACGATTTTAATTCGTTTAAAAACGCGATATCTAAGGTATTATCGGGCTTAGTAGACTGCTTACGGGTATCGCTTATGGAAATCATCGATCATATCTTAACAATTTTCAAATTCGCCATTGTTCGAGTTATACTATTTAAGGTCCTTATCGAGACTCTCTTATTTCACCCGGTACTTAAGGCGGCCGTTAATGAATTTAAAGGCGATGATCTCCTCTATTATCTATTCAATTCGGCCCTCGACAGTGACGTACTTCGGTGGAGGATTAATCTATTTAGATAAGGGGTTTATCGATATGAGGCTTAAGAGATTAGAGTAAAATATATTATAAATCTTTATACTCACTAAAAGCTTTAAGCGATACGAGGTTTTTATAAGATCTATTACTTTAAATAAGTTATATCTCTTATTATTTAATTTTTAAGACGATTAATCTAAGATAATATTCTTACTACTAAGAAAGATTATATCGCTTACTTTAAAAGTAATCTTCTAGCGTCATTTATTAGCCTAGATTACTATAGTCTTTTAAGCGCGATTCATATTATTCCGAATATAATTAAGAACTTATTATATATATTTAATAATATCTTTTACTCGAGTAATATTAAGACGTTTACGAGTGATATTATAGTTAATAGTATCTAAGCTAAAATTTATTCGAGAGTAAAAGCCCTTATTCGTAAAGAATAATAGAATATCTATCGCTGCGGAAGTAGTATTATTATTAGCGAACTTAGTAATAGATAATTATCTAGATTAATCGTTCTATATATAATTATAATATATTTAAAGATAGCGTTTTATATTCTAATTAGCCTATTTAGTTTATTCGTTAATTTTAAGATAAAAGACTATTAATAGCTTAGCCTTAATTCTAAGTCGTTTATAAAAGACTTTTCATATTATTAATATGAATTAAGAACCTCTATTTGAAATTATTAATATCGATAGACTATATAAGCGAAAGACCTTCTTAAATAATATGTTAACTATCTTTTTGATTATAATTCTTTTATCTATATTAGAGTACGCGATATAATATTATTTCTTAATAAGTTAATTTATCGCTACTTAGATAGCGTTATATTTATCGAATATAGATAAACCCGTTATAAAGTCTATCGAGATATTCTATTATCGCTTTTAAGAAATTAATAGAGATTATAATAAATTATATTCTTAATCGCGAGAGGTCTTAGATCTATAGTAGATATAGTAGTTTCGAATATAAATAATAATAATAACTTTTATATCTCGTTAATAGTATTCTCGCTTAAGTAGCTTATAAATACGGGCTATATCGAAATATCTATATAAGAGTTAATTATATACTTCGCGAATAACGTCGGTATATAGATCTTCTAATATTTATAAGCGATTCTTATAATAGAGTACTCTATTCTTTATAAAGTACTTATTAAGTATAACTCCGCGAAGTTTATTCTTATCTTTTATAATTACCTTACGAATTTCGTTATAGAACTTATTCGCTTTATTTTCCTAAGCTATTCTATAGAAGATAGAGTTATTAATAATATAAATCTTAATATCTTTATTATTAAGTTTTAAGCGGTTAGATATAAGTATCGTCTAGTATTACTACTTTAAGCGTTTATTCTCTAGACTATTTAGCTTAAAATCGGCTATATATATAAATACGTTAGCCTTAACGTTCTAAGGCCTTAAATGATAGATAATTTTAATATTAAATTTAGATAGTATATTTAAATAGCGGGTTTAGCGATAGCTTAGGTCTCTTTCTTTAGTAAAGTATATTAAGTTCTTATAATCCGTAAAGATCTTAATAGAAATATTAATATATTCTAATTTAGAATACTAGTATTCTAGATAGTAAATAATAATTAATAACTTCTTATTATAGATCTAATAATTACACTTAGTTAAAATAAAGTTTTTATTATAGAAAATTATCGGGTATAAGACTTCGTTATTATTATATTAGAATAGAATACTATTATTAACGTAATTAGAGAAGTTTATTTCGAGTATAATATTCTTCGATCTATCGAAATAGTATAGAATCGAAGCTCTTATAATAGCTATCTTTAGTAAATAAAAGGCTTTCTAATAGGCCGATAATTAATTAAATATTACTTTCTTAACTATAAGTTTTATTATTAGTTTTACGATCTTCGAGAAGTCTCTTATAAATTAATAATAGAAGTTATAAAAGCTAATAAAGGCCTATATCTCCTTTAAATTAATAGGTGTAGATTATTTAATAATAGCTTAAATTTTAATAGAGTCTATTTATAGACCATTAATCGAAATAAGAAGACCTAAAAATTTCGTCTTCTGAACATGAAATTCGTATTTGAGGATATCTACCTGTAATCCGATCTCTTATAGCTTCTAAAGAATCTTTCGAATATACGTAATATATTCCTTTCTCGATCGACTATAAATAAGAATATCGTCGAGATAGACTTAATAGAAGTCGTTTAGATACTCGAATAGAATATTATTTATATATTGCTAATAGGTGG